AGGTCGTTAGCTTGTTCTTTCGGCAAGTCGGGGGCAATCATCTTGGTTAACACACTTTGGTCTGATGGAGGAGTAGACGAAGTTTTTTCGGCACTCGGGATGCTGTCATAACTTAGAGTGCAAATATAGCACTCTGCCGCCGGCACGATCTCGGCTAGAGATATACCACGAGGGAGGACTTGTGTACATAGTGAAAAATTCACTAAGGGTAGGCAGGATGCATTGGCCGTAATAGTGATGACGGTGTGAGGAAACGCAACGTTGTGCGAAAGTAGGACGTCAACATTGGGGGACACAATATAAACACCGTCTGGGACAGGTGGAACAGGGGAGACGCCTATGTAAGCTACTGTTCGTTGAGGGAGACGCAGGTGTTCTGTAGAACAAAGCCGACTTGGAGGGCAACTTGGAGGATCAACAACATTAGGTAGAGCGAGTTGCACTATACCGGCAGAGCAGTCTATCAAGGCCGAATGTTCAGACAAAAAGTCTTGGCCCAAAATTATGTCATTAGGGCAGTGTTCTAAAACATAAAACAGAACTGATGTGTGGTGTCCGGCGACGCTGACGCGAGCTGAGCACACACCAATTACGGCGACTTTTCCACCATCGGCCGTTCGGACCACAGGAGTTGGGCCAGGAGTAAGGACTTTCTTCAGCCGTGCTCTAAGGTCAGCGTTCATGATAGACACGTGTGCGCCAGTGTCAATGAGGGCTGTAGTAGGTACACCGTCGACGTCAACATTGATAAGGTTCTGATGTGCGGGCAAGGTCAGTAGAGGATTTTGGGATCGGGTCGGTATTGCAGCATCACCTCCAAGAGCTGCTCCCGTCAGTTTTCCGGAGGTGAACGCCGGAACGAGCTTGGGGACGGCGATCGGCGAGATGGGGGCGAGCGGGAGAAACGGCGTTGTGGCGAAGGGGAGCGGCTGGATCGGGGGCGCGAGGAATTCTCAGGCGTTAGCGGCTCTGTTTTCGGTGATGAGCGTGAATTCCAGACAGGTGGGCGATGGGGCGGAGGGTGAGGCCACGGAGCAGAGCTGGACCAAGCACGGCAGTGACGCGAAATGTGGCCTATACGACCGCAATTGAAGCATATCGGCCGGTCGTCTGGGGTGCGCCATACCGCCGGGTCGCGATAATGTGGGCTGGCAGAAAAACGTCGGTTGGGCGGGACAGTCACGGGTGGATTTGGTGTGGCGTAGTCTGGACGATGAATGGAGCAGACGTTTAAGCCGGCGTTGGCCAGTTCTTGCCTCACGACGGTCTGTATGAGAGAGACGGTGGCGTGATAGCTTTCGGAGTTGGGGGAAGCTGACACGAGTGGAGCTGCGGCTTCTATTTCCCGACGGACAATACGGACAACGTCACCGGGACTTTCCGTAGAAGGCAGGCGAGGGTCTTCGCATGTGGACGTTGCAGCCGTGTTTGGAAGCCGGGCAAACTGGTGGAGAACACGGCGGCTCTTCGCTTCTTCAAAGCGCCGGCATTCAGAAATAATGTCGTGGACCGTAGATGAATTCTTGAACACAAGAAGGTGAAAGGCGTCATCTGCTATGCCCTTAATAATATGGCCAACCTTATCGGCTTCGGACATCTGCGAGTCTACCTTGCGGCACAAAGCGAGCACGTCCTGAATGTACGTGAGGTATGATTCGGTGCACGTCTGAACTCGACGTGCGAGCTCGTTTTGGGCGGCGCGTTGACTTCCCACAGGCCTGCCAAATAGCTCCCGGAGCTTTTGCTTGCATAACTCCCAGCTAGTCAGTTCTTCCTCGTGCGTCTCGTACCAGACCTTTGCGGTACCTCTGAGATAAAAAATCACGTTGGCCAGCATGAGCGTTGGATCCCATCGCATACGTACACCCACTCGTTCGTATGACTTCAGCCAGGCTTCTACGTCAATGCCATCAGTGCCAGAAAAGGTACCTGGATCTCTCGGGGGCTCCAAGATGAGGGTTGACGGTCCAGTTGGAGAAAGCACGGACGTAGTTGGAGAAGGCACGGTAGACGGGGAAGGGTCGGCATTGTTGACTGCAGTCGCCATGGGGGAGACCACTAGGCGCCCGCTACGAAGCTCCGTTTTGCGTGAAGTGAGTACCCCGCACCTCCCACCAATGATGTTACGGGAGAATAACTTTACTTTATAAAACGAGGAATAAACTCGGTGGTGGACAAGATGGCGCCCAGTTGGCTCACAGATCTGACAACATCGTCCTCCTCTTTGTCTTCTTCGTCGTTCTCATCCTACCGTTACAATATGTGCTAGTCCCCGCTTTTTCATTCAAACCACGCGTAGCGGCTTTATTGCATTTCATTTTGTTTCGCATGCATGTGCGACCACTTGTCACTGACGTGTCATCAATTAAAAAGATGATATTATAAAACGTGACGTATCAATGAAAGCTCCGGAGTATACGAAATGCACCGAGAGCGCTGCGCAATCCGACGGCACATGCCGGGTTTGCGCCATCTCGCGAGTTTCATCATGAAGCAAGGCAGCCTCTGCTTCCTTCCGAACACGCTACAACATATTAGAGTACACTATCGCAGCCGCCTTTCGTGTTCTGTGAACAAGCACGCAGTTGACGGAGCCGCGACAACCAGAAGTAGACGGCTTTCAGAGCAGCGCATAGCGATAGTAGCGATGGCGCGTGCAGCCAGCGCGAGACTGGGAGAGGCGCTCGGCTGGAGGGCAAAGCGGCTCTGGGAGAAGAAACTCTGTGGAAGAAAATACCATAGAGAGTACCGAAGGAAAGAGCGAAAGGAGTGATCGTCGTGGTCTCGATAATCAAACGCAACAACTGTTTCGAAAAATTCTCACGGCTCCGTGTATGTCGTACACTCGGGCACAATTTCCCCACCATACCTAAATTTCGCCCTCTGGGTGGTTTAGGGGCCCTTCAAAGATGCAAACACAAAGGTTAACAGCCCAACATGGCGGCGCGGAAACCCCTTTGGGCCTTGAAACTTTGCCGTCGCGCTATTGGGGAGCCTAATATGGCGCAATAAAACTGCCACACCACGGCGCCACAGTAGGTTAGAGGCCACATTTCTCTGGGTTGTTTCCACAGAGACCGCAGATGCAGCCGGCGTTAGCTGAAAGTTTGACGTGTATTCGGTATCTGTGATTGCGTTTTGGATAAAGGTATCTTACAGTTGAAGCGTAACGTTCGCGTGACAATATCGTTTATGTGCCGTTTCAGCTAGAACGGCAATACTGAAAAGGTTACACTATTCTGCAGGCCAAGGGCAGCTAAAAAACTGTAAGAGAGCACGGTAATGAACAGACAACTTCATCGATTCAAAGCATGTCCGTTTGCGCGCGAGACAGTTCCATTAATCGGACATCACACATGTGGATGGTGGAATAAATGGTGACAGGAGTATCATTGCTGAGGGAAAAGCCACGCTGCTAAGAGACATGCCTAACAACATTTCTCGAGTGTTCTACGGCCTGCCAGCGTACTTTATGAATCGGAAGGCGCCACGGACAATTTAAATGCCACTGAAATGTCCTAAAGAGCCATCGCGTGGAAGGGTGCTTTCAGCCACAATAAAAGGGCCATCGGCTACTTACTGTTAAAGAAAAAGAAGAAAGACTCGAGATGTGCCGGTGCTCCTTTAGTATGTCTTTTGAGCTCTAAACATACCCCAGGGTTGAGTGAAGGTAAAAATGATCTGTTCTTTCTCATACGCATTTCCACGGCTTATTTCAAAACAACATCGTGGTCAGTCCTATTAATTAGGCGTCCTGATTCACCACGGAAGCACGGCACTTACTGCATCAGCGCGTTAATCCTCGTCACCCTACTAGTGAGAGACAATAATTGAGAACAACAACGCTGAGTCCAGCAGATTAATTACATGCGGTGTCCATTGGGAATATTGACAACAAAAATTGCAATTGAAAGCTGTGTCTCATAATTGGGCTGATACGCACGAGAACTAGCACGGCTTTCGAGGTCTGAAAACGACAAGAGTTGTCAGCAAGAAAACCTTATTTCAATAACGGTTACGGTCTGCCTATGTATCTGTTCTGTACAGATTACCAACAAAGCAAGTTGATGTCCTAGAATGTTTTTTGTTACGTAAAATTAGTCCGTAACCACTGCTGGAACGACATGCAGGCAATTTAAAGTTCAAAAAATAACAGTGCGAGACCCTAAGCTCAGGTTTTCATGCATTTAATGGTAACGCCGCTGACGTTTCGTTTTCTATACAGCGAATCTCAGTAATTTAAATTTTTTAAAAGTATTATTTAAAGCTTGTTAGGCCTACTCAAAAGACATTTTCCACTCAGAAGGTCCATGTACATTGTCTGCTAACGCAATGAGCTGCTAGACTAATGTGAGAATGTTTACCTTGTCCCTTGTCTTCGGTAAAAAAACATTCTGAGTGCAGATACGCAAAAGAAACGTGCAAAGATGGGGTACGTGGCAGCGAGATGCATGTCAGTGCTCAGGAGATTGTGCTTTCAAGATGGCAAGCATTTGTAATTCTCCCGATGAAGAAGCTGCCCGATGTCAGCATCAGCGAGCACACACACAAGAATGGCCATGTTATCACTGAGCCAACCACGATTTTCACACAAGAGAGGCCGAAGCTAAGCACCCACGAAAGGAAGAATTGAAAACTATAAAAGTACGATGTAGCCTGCTGGATTTTCTTGCTAGAAAAAAAATGTGTGTGTCAAGAATTAATACCCTTCAGCTTTGTAATATGAATCAAGAAGCTAATCAAGAAGTATTTTGTTAATCAGCGATTTCTCTGTATAACAAGCTACGGCAAAATATTTTTGCCTTGAAGAAGAGTATGTACACGAAGATGACAAGTGTCTGATAGTCATATCATCATTATAAGAAAATCTGCATTAAAAAAAAAAAGAAGCATCATGTAAATCTCTGAGAATGTTTATATACATAATAATGAATGATGCATTGACAGCTTATAATTGTATCAAAACTGCCTTAGCTGCTCCAAGAGTACAATGACACACATTTTTGTACAACAGAAGCCTAAATTTTATTAATGGCACCTGTGTAGGCTCAAAACATCACGACAGTGCAGATAATGAAACCTTTTTAAAAGAGCCTCTGTAAAATGGCTGCACGATTCGACCAGACAGGTCACTTCATGCACTAACAATGTTAAAAGGTGATGCGCACAAATAAATATATAACAAATACAGAACCCCAAAATAAAAAAGTAATAAAAAACGAATGCATGAGCACAAAAAGTTTTCTAGGTCACCTGTCATGCTCACCTTTATGCACAAGACGCACCTATATAAATAAGGCAATCTTCTCATCACACGAACAACCACTGTAAAACACACTGCAAGTTGTCTCTCCATTGACTAGCGACGCTAATGTGTCTGAACAGCTCAGCGCACTGAAATATAACTCCTAAACATACTCTGCGTGACTGTCTTTGGCAGATAGCTGGTGAGATATTAAAACAGCAACTACAGGCCTGGACGTTGCTAGAATGGAAAAAGACAGCAAAGCAGCTGTTCAGGTTCCGTGAAGAAATTCAAGTTATCTTGCTCTAGTCAGCAGTTGGAAAGAGCAAAGAAACAAAAGAAAAGCGCAACGTACAAGTTAAATGCAACTAGCATGTTTCTGTGCCCTGTCGTATTTTTAGCACATGTTGTAGAACACCTTGATGGCACAGCCAATAATTGTTGCGTAAGAACAATCGGGCCACGCAATAGTTTCAAAAGCCCAGACTTCCGGATAAATCGGCTCGCACTCGCAGGTTGCTGCCGTAAGTACAGAACACGTTCATACCTGATGAATTGTAACGTAATAGACGGTAGAAAACTTTAGCACAAGGGTTCAGAGGTCTACTTTTGAGGCCTGCACTGAATACTTGTTAAATGTGCATAACAGCAGTGCACGTAACAAAATCTCATGTGTATAACCTCTACGTCAAATCGTTCCCACCACAGAAAACGCATTGTGTGGCACCAAGAGATGACATCTGATATAACAAAGTAAACGAGTTCTCATTAAAAAAAGCAGCATGAGGTGACGGCATCCGTCAAACAGATGCAACGCTCAGCACAACGAAGCAAGAGGTGCTGGTGGAATACCTTCAGTGTCAAGTTCTGTCGAAACAAAGCTGATGTATGGGTCTGTGTCGAAGGGAGCGCGGAAAATTGTCATGTTTTGCGAGTGGAGAATTCAAGAAGTCTTGCTCGGGGTTGTATACACACTTTCTTGGATGGCACACTCTATGTACAAGAAGGGAAACAAAAGAAATAAGGTGCAGGTACAGGTGTGACGTGTGTACAGTGCAACTGCCGCTCGAAGCCGCAGGACAAGACTAGGCTAGTTTTTCCTCGAGCGGTAGAACCTGCTTGTCTATGCTTTTTGAAGGTAATATATGTAACAGCGCGCTCACGGATAATATGCATAACAGTGATGGCTTGCACAAGCAAGTACGTGACACAGCTTCCACGCGAGACACCTGTGACCGAGAATGGGAAGAGGGGAGTGACATGCAAGTCGAGGCAATGATGGTTATGTCAAGCTTTGCACGCAAGAGAAGTGGAAGTTGAGGCTATCTACAGCAGTGCCACAGTGACAAAGTTAAAGTTGCGATGCAGTGCCTAATGCTGTAGGGTGCATGCATGCATATAAAAGTGAGAAGAAGTGGCTTCTGCAAGCTGACCGGTGCTGATTGTGACCTTTTAGGACCAAACCAGAACCTGTGGTCTCTTAGAAAAATCATACTTATGCTTGACACAATTTAAAGAGAAATTCATTCAGTTAGTCATTGCACATAGCTCTCTTAAAAGGAGAAAGCAAGCAAAAATGAGTACTCTTCAGAGAAAGGTGATGATTGAGTTTCCCTATTTCCGAAATGGACAATAATATGGCCACAATACTTCTTTGCATTACATAGCGAGTCCCGATCAATGACAAAATTAAACAATATATGTGCGTAGCACACAATGACTAAATGTCTTTTGCCTCCCATGCAACTTTTAAGCCATGGTGGGAACTGGGGGAAGTGCAGGTCCCGCGGCTGTAGTTCAACGAGCGCCCGACGTCCTCCCCATGCACAGTGCAAGGTCTGATGGAGCTGTCTGCAGCTATCAGATGAAAAAGAACACGCTCTCGGTACAATGCACCTTTGAATGATGGCTGCACTCGCTAGACGGATTCGAAACGTGGTCCTTATTAACAGTTGCACCCATTTCTTGGCACGCGATTGCACCAACGCTGCAACATGAAGCCCGGCAAATGTTTGGTTGCTCTCTTCCATGCCGGCTTTCATCTCTGGGAACCCGTTCGTCTGCGACCCTTTCAGGCCCTCACTCTCCAACGTTGTTGTTCCCCACGTAGTTGTTTTGCTGGCTCACGAGCCAAGCATCATACACTGCCATCTCCTTGCGTTCCTTCTCATAGTTGCGCATCTCGTACTGCAACCGGTTGCGTATGATGCGCTGCACCAGGTCATGCGTGGTGAGCTTGTTCTTGCTGTCCAGTATCTTGAACTTGCCAATGCGTTTGGGCTCCTGTTCACCAATAGAGACAAGCATGTGATCTTTTCAGAAAGAGCCCTATGCCAATGAGGGCTCCTACGTAATGATTCGATTTTTTATCCATTAGTTTTGCTCATCATTGGCTTTTCGAGGAACCCTACTCTATTGCCGAGGCCAGCTACCCAGTGAAACAGATTGCATTCAGTGGAACCGAACGGGAAAAACCGTAAAATAACAGAGCTCTCGCACTAGCATATACCAGATGTGGATAATGTACAAAGTAAATATGTCACAAAACAAACACACTTTTCACTTACATACTCTAAGAAGTCCAAGCTAGTTTAAAAAATTATACATATGTAAACCCACTTCCATTTCCTTCCTACACTAGATAGTGGTTGTGCAGTAGTTTGACACAGCTCCTTATGCAAATGTAAACAATAACATGATTTGCTCTTAGTTACTTCCAATTGTTTTTTATTTGCCTGATAGTAGTTGCTTAGTTCTGCAAGTATCCCTACAAAAGGTTGCAATCTATAGTTATAAGTCCTTAAAATGGTATAGTTTAGTAAAAAGTTAAAAGTAGAGAAGGACGAAGAGGGAGGATAGAAAGCCAATCAAAAGGTTAAAAGGAAATAAGTGAAAGGTACACGGATGATTCGAGCTGTGCTTACAGTACTCACCGCATAAGGGTCACTGCCATCCACGTCTTGCATGATTGGAGTCTTCCCATGGCACACCACATGGACCTAAACAAGAATGTGCACTCGGCATCTTAAAAGCAAGCTTGATGTCAAGTGTCGCGGAGTTACGAAAAAGAATGGTGGACCTCACCAGTGACGTCATGAAATCGATTAGTATGACCATTAAATTCGACCATATCCCGCTAAAGGGAATCATGTGTAGATGGGAAGCAGCGAGTGCTGACCCTTACAGTGGCGGCGATGTTGACACTGGTGCTAATGATGCAAAAGTTAAGTGAAGACGCCTTTGAGTGAATTCCGAATGCACAATCCAGCACTTACATACATGGGGTTACCAGTGAACGGTCGTGCAGAGCGAGCAGTCGGTTTTTTACTAGCAGACGGCCTTGCGAGGCAAGAGAGGGGGAGGGGCAGTTTTGCGGGTGTCACATATGACAGGTGGCGACAGGCTAAGGAGAGAGCGAGATAAATGCGCGCGCACTGCGAGAGAAGGCATGACCTACTTGGCACCACCCCAACACCTGCAACCAGGCGCGGTGCGGACGATAGAGCAGCATTACACAGGGTCGTCAAAGAGCTACTTAGCATTTAAAATGCTAATTGTAAAAAGCAGCATGCCGTATACTTCAGTCGGCAGTCATTTGGAGCACACCAGTTGCAGCATTGAGTTCATATTTTTTTTTTTCAGCTCGGTTTTTACCAACAGTATTTTCACTACAGCTTTTGCTGATATGGATTAAAAGTATAGGCTGTTAAGCATTCAGGTCAATGTAACTTGCTTGTAAATTATGGTTGCTTAAAATTTGCAGAGAAATAAAAGAAATGTCAAGCTGTAACCAGAAGAAAAAAAAGTCCCAGAAATTTTAGCTAATAGGTACTGAAGCAGACGTACACACTGAGCAGGTGTACACACACACACACCAAGTCCATTTATTATGACAAAGGAAGTTGGTCTTCTTGTATCAATGATTAAAAGGCCACAACATTTTATACAAATATTTAGTATCCACTTGTCACAATCACAAGGCAAATACCTTTTCTGAAGAATAAGCAACAGCTAAAATTAAAAAGATGAAATTGTTTCTGAAGGTGCCCGTGTTGTCTTAAAAAAAGAGAAACATTTTTTTTCCGGAATTTATATATACAATACAACTCGCTACTTGACCTGTCCGAAAATTGAGCAAAGCAACTTACGCGGAAATGCTCCATGAGGTCTGTTGTGACCGAGTAGGGTGCTCCGATGACAACTTCATTGACATACTGGAAAAAAAAAAGGTACACACTGACCGCATCAACAAAAATTTATTGTGTCTTTGACATTCTTTTTTCATTTATTCAGGGACACCTGCAAAATGACGATGCCCTACTGCATGCTTTTGTAGCTACCACAACCAGACAACCACAGACTTATATGCAGGAAAATAGGTGCGTGCTATATATGTACAACTCGAGTGAAGATTAAGTACTCAAACCTTCGTAAGAAAAAGATTTGAGGTCTTTCGCCGGGTTTTGTGGCACCTTGAGGTATGGAGTAGTGAGCTATGGCCTGACTAGACTTCTAGGCAGTACTTTTTGCTGAACATGGATGAAATGACTGACAAGCTGGCAGCCTATATCGTGCTTTATAAGCATCAAGCTGTTCGAAGTGATTAAATGGCAAAGAGAATAAGTAGGAATTTGATCAAGCTAGATGCAAGCAAGTTGTCTCTACAGCTTGTACCATCTCAAAAATTACCACGATTGTAAAGTCACCAAATTTCATTTCAGTCACAATCATCAGAGAGTTATGTAACCTCAGCAAGTCCTATTTACAGGAAATCTCGGAAACAATAAACTACTTTGTTAAATGAACAAAGAAAATGAAAGACTTGAAAAAATCTTGACCCTAACCTCAAGTGGTGAGTAAAAAATGTGCCCCGCCTTTTTTTCTAGCATCCACAAAATAAACTGCGCTCGACATGCAAAATGTTATAAACAAAAAACATCACACAATGGTTTTCCTCTTCTGACCATGCACGTGTTTAAAGCTAAAATGAGTCGCATACCAAACTACTCCCTTGTATTCTGTGCCTGCCATAATTCAATAAACGTTTATGCGACCACATTATACGCCTTTGTTGATGCCAGCTACAAATGTACCATCAGAAGTCTCAATATTGAAACGTTCAATCTGCTTTTATGCTTTTTCTATTGTTTGCTATAACCACTCCCCCCCCCCCCCCCTTTGATGCCTGTAGCACTAAGGGTTTTCATAAACAAACAGCGTTTGCTGCCTCTGGCACCGAGTGTTGCTGGGACACTTAGCTCGATGCTCTATAGTCCAAACTGATTGTCAAACTAACAGAGATGTAAAGGTGTTCACATTCACACCCACCTTGCAGGCTAAAACGCTCAGCACGCGCTCGTGGAGGTTCATGATGGGGTAGTTGTAACCTTTGTACCTGTTCACCACCTGCACAACAAGAGAGGTTTGCACATTATGCACTTATAAAAAAAAACTGGATTATCGAACAGTTGCACCAGCATATCGAGGTTATGCTAGTTGGCAGTTTATATCCAAACTAAAAACAGAGCAAACACAAGAACACAAAGAAGGCGAGAAATCACCATATGGGGAATGCTGTTGCAGCCAATGCTGATGAGCAGAAGTGGGTGACAAGGTCAAGTTTTACTCCCAGAGTTGGCTCAGCAACATGCACTGATAAACAATTTTATATCACATTAAACCTCCATCTTCTCCTAAAGTTTTGTCTCATTTAGAAAAGAGAGAAGAGGCAGAAAGAGAGAAAGAAAGAGAGACGGTCCACGAGTGGTTTTCGCATGGCACTTCTGCATACTCAATCTTCCTGCTGCTTCGAAATAGAACAGATGAGCATGTTGACATGCTAAACTACTTTCAGATACTCATGTAGGCAGTCTGCAAGGGGGGGCAGCTCTTATTATCCACACATTGCTTCGTTTTGGACATGTGCTTTTCCACTGGAATAAAGTATGAGCTAACTAGTATCTCGCTGTAAGAAATTGATGTGCATGCTGTGAAAGCAGTCACTTTGGACTAGATGGCACGACATACAAGCACTACTATATATTGCCCAGTCCAAAGGCCAACTTAAAAGAACACTAAAGGCAAATATTATGTTGATTGCTGAAACAGCTGTCTAGAAACCTTGTACTGCTACTTTTGTGCCAAGGAAGTGCTCATTTTGAAATCGAATCACGTTAGAGTGATGAAAATCGTGTTAGCACACTTCAGATTACCTGCCTCAAGTAGAAACTTTCACGCCATTGTTGCCGCGCACGACGTTGCCTGGCTTTACTACGCGGCCGCCGACACTAGTAGCAGCAGAGCGAGAGTAGCAGGAGCTACCACAGCAGCAACAACAGCCATTGAACATTTTCCTGCCATGGCCTCCGAGATAGCAGGTGTGCTTGGTTCAACTGGGCCCCGCTAAATGGCACAACGTACCTGTCCAGTTTAACCAGGCGAAAATTAAACATTTGAACAACTCATGCCATTCCCCATAGCAATGTCCGGTGGTTCTTTTTTCATTGAATCAAACAGAAACAAACAAGCAGCATTTCATTATGTTTCGTAATGCACGGAAGGCTCTTTACTTAGTGCAGCCAGTTCGATTACTAGTGATTAATTGTAGGTGGTAACTCTGACATCTTCGGGATCATTTTGCAAATGTTCTACTCGCGGGGCATGCGTTCTCGTGCTTTCACCCTAATTTCTCAGTAAGTAGGGCATTGCTGGTTATAATATTGGCATCTTAGACGTCATATACTGAGCTTTCACACTGACATAAGTTGCTCTTAGACATTAGTGTACCTTTAAGACTAAATTGCTTGGTTAAGGCTAAATTGGTTGGTAAACAAGAAGCACTGTTAAAGTAGATCTTGCCAAACCTGCAGGAATGATGAATCATTCATACCTCATGTAACCAGCCATTCGACACAAGTTGAATAGACAATCGGTGCACCTGGTGATTATTGAAAATGACAAGTCCCAGCACACTGCTTCCCAAGATTTTCATCACACTGCAGGTGATTGAAGGAACTATCTAATATTGAAGGTCATGCAAGAGACCTGCACTACATTTCTGAAAGCTCAGTACCATAAATTTACCAATTTTAGCAAGCCGTAATGCAACCATATTGAAAAAGAAGCTTTGCTATCAAAAACACCAGTGCTTGCTTGGCTTTCCCAATGCATCCAGTCACACAACAATGAAAAAATTATACTTCAAGGCTGCTCGACATTCAGAGTATGTAAAACAAGGCTTTTCATCCAGTCAAAAGCTTTATTGCCATTGAAGGTGCTGTGCCTGTTCCAACTTCGGTGACTGAAATGATCGGCATCAAACAACAAGGTTTCAATACAAGTGAAAAGCTAAAGGCCCATGTACTAAGATTTTAGTGCACATTAAAGAAACCTAGGTCGTCGAAATTATCCAGAACTCTCTGCTCAGCATCTTTCATCCCCTGAATTGCTTGGGAACATTCAAACCCGTGAGCTGACCAACCAGCACATACACGACAAAACAATACTTACAGGGTCTGTGTGGAGCCCAACGATAAGGTAGTCACCTTCCGCTTTGGCTTTTTCCAAGAAGTCTAAATAGCCCACATCTTGAGTCAAGCAAGGTATGTGTCAAGGCTGCCAACAAACTCTCAAACGCTTTGTAGTAGACAGCTTTACAATAGCGTTTGCAACCACACATTGTGTATACTTAAAGAAATAACTAATGCGCACACTCTAGTGTTAGTATTTGGTTTTCATGGCTCATGTACACTATAGTTATATGGCGAATATAATTTTCAAATTCACAATAAAACAGCACCACTTAATATGCCATTCATGGCACTTGCCTTAGCACACATTCTCATGACTGGTACACTTTTGTACACACTAGCTACCATTCATTATCAGTAACCATTGAACCATTGAAACAAACTATTGCATGGCTAAATGCATCTACAGCATTAGAAAATGAGTGAACAGAATGTACAACTTAAAAGTATTATGTTATCCTGACATCTGGAGGCCTAACAAGCAGTATGTGAAAAAGAATTATAGAATCCTTGCTAAGTTATTGTTTTGGCTTAGATATATCTCGCACGAGTCAGATATCTTGCAAGAGGCACTATATTTTAACTATATGTGCTTACATGTGAATATCGCACGTGTTCAAGTGAAACATCTGAGAGAACGCGTACTGCAATGCAGCGCAAAGATGGTTGAGCGTAACATATGCGAGCTGACCAACGTTGTTCGAAGGTTCCCTTGCGGTAAAAGGCCAACTTATGCACGAGAAACACACGGTGAATAAAATTTTTACAAATAGCCCTAACCAGAAAAACTGCGCAGCTAAAAGCATTAAGGGGAGATGCTCCTCGAAAACACTTTTTCTTTAATATTATACCTAAAGTTATGAAACTTTGGTCATAGACTGAGTTTGTAACGCTGATTCCAAATATGTGCTTAGTTCTTATGTCGCTTTATTAGTTTTTGTGCGAGACACCTCTCAAGAGAAAAATATAGGGCTTTTTGTGCACATCTTTTTTAATAATAAATTTTTGTTTAGAGAAGCCTGCAATAGCTCATTTTGCTGGTTAGGTAAAGTAGTATGTTAGATACTACTTAAAATTTATTCAAATAATTTCTATATTTCTAAAAAAAATCAGGAATACCAAAGGTACATACTTTGTGTGCTGGGAGTCAACATTTTAATTGTTTTCAAAAAATGTATAAGAGATATTTAAAATGCATATAGATATCGACATTCTACACACTTTGAAGAGGCTGTGTGCAGAATTTCATCCAGATCTGACCATTTGAAGTACCTGAAAAGTGGTGCACAAAACGTAAAAAATGCTGAAAAGTACAAATGGAGAAAAATGCTTTTGAAAGTTTCAAACATCTGTATTTTTCAAAAACATGACGAAAGCACATGAAATTTCTTGCAAAAATAGAGCAATATGTCTCAAACACAGCACAGCTGTTCAGAACTCCCCTGGCCCATACGTTTGCCCCTCAGCACCCTCTCGAATGGAGTCCGTGAGACGCGCTCTCTTCACCTGGTTTCGGCGATGGGCTCGAGCTTCAGCGGTTTGGCGGACGGACATTTTCTTCATTCTCCTCTGGTCACGGGAGCTTCCCAGGACAACAAGCTCTTCTGGTGGCAGAATACCAAGCTCCTGAAGCACTTGCTCAAAGCTGCCATGACCGCAGTTATACCACAAAACGGCGATGGCAGTTGCAGTTTCCACTACTGTCTTGGACACAAACTTCGTCTTCGGGCATAGTAACCAGATCTTGCTGTTGAGGGACTCTGCTGCATTTTGAGTCTTCCCTTGTAAGCAGCGGGTGAGAAGCTTCTTCTCCGTGAGACGCCTGTAAATAGGCAGCAGAGCCTCCCCCTGTGCCTTTGTCAGAAGCGGAGTGTGGTCTGGCGCAGGTTCTCCAAGTGCTTCCGCCCGCTGGTGCTTGCACCATGATTCAACTCCTTCGGGGCAGAGTTTATGGCTCTTGGCTGCATTCGTTGAACTCGAATGAAAAAGTGATGCCCAAATGGCACAATACATTTCCCGGACATTGCCCCTGTTGCTGGTGATGGCTATGCGGTAGTAGTTTTGCAACTTCTGTATTTGCCCGTCCTTCAACTTCTCGCCACGTGGAAGAGGAGTCTTGAGCTTGCGAATTGAAGTGCCCAGGCGCTTGGCCACGTGGTTGGTGCAATCTTCCTTCACGATGGATGTTTCACCGTACACTTTGGCCTCAAGGACAGCATTGAAGGCTTTACTGTCCCCATCACTCAAAAACGTGGTGAAGCGCAACGGTGTCTCATATGAGGGAGTCCGTGTCCATATGCGCACTGCTGCCTCAGTTTCCATAGCATGAGAGGAGCAGTCAACGTTCTTCTCACAAACTGGGTTATGGTACGCCTGCCACACTTGCTCTTCGCTCCCGATGTCTTTGTGCCGGCTGCACGCAAGGCAGAAGTTTGAGAGAACCTCAAAATCGAGGCACAAGCCAGTGTCTACAGACACAGCTGTGCCAACGCCGTTATGGCTCTTGTGGCCCCGCTTTTGCCACGTACCATCAAACATCACGGCAACATCACTGCTGCCGACCATCTCTTTCTTGTGAACTCTCGCTTTCTCCATGTTTTCCTCCACGGCTTTCATGGCCGCAGCATGAACTTTCTTGCCGATCGCAATAAAGTTCTTGTGATGTAACGGCGTCGGCAAGCCAAGAATGGCGCAAAAACGTGAAAGCTGTTCGTGCCCGATGCCAATCGCGTGCGCAGCTACCACTGCCTTGACGTTCACGGCGAAGCTGTCGCGGGAGCTCCCACTCCGATATTCCCGGCTTCCGCTAGCACCGTTCGCAAGCTCACCAGGCACAACACGGCTCGAGGTGTGCACAGAAGAAAGTACCGATTCAGGGCACTCACTGTTCGCACAATGCAACTCGAGAAACGCCGAGAGACCCTTCCGTTTTTCGACCGGTTCACGTACCGCGAGGGTACAGGTGTGGCACGCAGGGCAAGCAGCTCCACTTATCAGCACCGTAAGCGCACTGATATCGCATATCACAGCACTCGCAGAGTTCCGATCGCTTGCTGCTCTATCGTTCTCGAAGAGTCCAATCTTCACCTCCGAAGCGCTCACAAAGTTCAGCGCGGCGTCGATTTCGTCCGAGTGGCCGTTGTGCTGGTCAGGGCTAGCCGGAGGTGTCGGGCGGCTGCTTCCCGCTGTCACTTTCCGTAGAGGTTTGCGACGCCGCACTCGGTGCGGGATCTTCGCCCGAGCCTTCCGAGCTCGGAAATCGCGCTTTTTCGGTTCGTTCATTACGAAATAACTGAAAAAACGCAAGAAAAGGGCCACAGAGTTCGATCGAGTCGCCGTACACAGTCGAGGACGGATGCAGGCTTCGGTGCTTCGCCGCAGCAACGTCTCCGTGTAGGCCAATGGCGGCCTCGCTAGAGCACCACGTGATTTAAATGTCCAGTAGAAAAGCTTGAACAGGCGCCAAAACGTGCCTTTTTTATTATTTTGGGCCAAAATGCGAAACTGAGGGAGGTGCTGTAGGCTAAACGAAGGCTTACTCAACCTCTCCAAGCAAACAGCAATGGCGGGAGACGCCGCATTCTCGAGATGGAGACGATCGAAAGTTGCTGATTTGCGACGAAACTAGCACTTTCTCGAGCCACCGTGGCTGAATAAAATAGAATTTTTACTAACTTCTCGTTCGAATTTTGCCTTGATCTTTTGCGGAGTTGTAGCTGAATAAACAAAGATAATTTTACAGGTAAAATCTCAAAACTGAAAAATTCCGCGAAAAACGCGATTTTTCGACGCGCATCTCCCCTGTGTACAGCCTAAACACTCGTAACAGCCTAAACACTCGTACAGCCTAAACAAGGCGTAATGACAATATATGTACATCAACATGGCGTCAACACAGTGGTATCATGACAACTACAACACATTTCACTGTGCAACCTTTGATAAAAGCAAGTGCTGAGGATAAACACTGAAAGGATACGAAAAAGGTCGAACGCTCCCGCCACGTAAACAATGCGGTCTGTACTCTGAAAAAAAATAGTAAGCAGAATAAAATTTTCAGCCAGAAGCACACATTCATTGCCTTCAATTATCCTAGCTTACTGCACAGCAAGAAGCACAGAAAGATTTGATGAAAAATACTGAATTGTTCAAAGGTTATCAGTTTTTGAGTCAAAAAAAAAAAAAACAATCTGACTGAAAACTACTAGTGTCACCCATTGGCAGATTCAGAGCACTTGCAGTGACGCTTTTCCTGCTCCATGCAAACAGTATGCTCCATTGGCAGATCCGGAGCAGCTCCGTCGAGCGGTTCACTCCACGGAGCAACGTTTTCTACTCCGTGAAAAGTGGCGGATTCAACCTGAAGTTGCAAGCTCCTCGTATCCTGGAAAACGGTGCCAACTGCGGGCACACCAATGGATGCCGGTTGTGCTTCGCATCGGACTATGTAGTGCTCGCATTTCGCTAGCGTAACGTTGCTTTGCCCACTCATGTAAGAACAGAGAACCACGTGTCACGTTCCATTCCGGCCCCATGATTTGCTCCAGCGAGAGCGTGTGTGTTCTATCGGAAGATTCTCTTCAATTGCCCTCCACCAGAGTGAAGTGCTCCTGTGCAGAGTTCATCGGCCATGCCAAATTCAAGCAACAAAATTCATGATAGATTTTCAGAAAAACAAAAATTAAACTTTTCAGACGTGTCATTGTCAATTCACGGGTAGTTGTAGAAAAAAACGTGATTTTTTAACACAACCAAATGAAGACATCCTTTTTCCTGCACCATGATTCCGAATGTCAGCACATTTTTAGAACGCCAAACACAAAAAGTAACATTTCTATTTTAAAATAATGCTATTTTAAAGAGTGGCCACATACCTGAAATGAAATCTGTGTAAAACTAATGACATTTAAAGGTGTCTCAAACATTTTTAACAGCTCGAAATCTCTAGGCATGCTTTTTTTGTACCTTAGGCTCCTTTCCCTCAGCAAACTGTATGATCTTTTGTGTTGTTGGCAGAAACTGGGAGATTCCAGTCCATGGGCTGTGCGTCGTGGAGTCCTAGGAAGAGATTGAGAAAGAAAACACAAAACAGGACGCCGGTCGAGACACAGACGACATGGGTACAAGACACCCACACATGTATACCGACAAAGCACCCAAGCACCCAGCAATAATTTTTCTGCACTCCTTGCCTTGGTTAACATAGCAGCGCCACAGCCATTTCCCTTAAGTTTCCCCAAGCACCCAGCAATAATTTTTCTGCACTCCTTTTCTGCCTTGGTTAACATAGCAGCGCCACAGCTATTTCCCTTAAGTTATTCCAGTTACTCAGCTAGACCATTTTTCTTTTCTTTGCAAGAGGTTGACTGCCCAGGCAGAGTCAGGACTAGAGACAGAATTTCAGGCAGTTGCCCATCTTTGTTATTTGCTTCAAAGATTACACATAAGCATGAATTAAGTTTTGTTAGACCCTTCTTTTAGAGCACTATACCGACGAGCACTGCTACACCTAACCATGTGGCTGCGAGAGCCACTGAGTGACTTTTGATTGATGCTGGCTTTGTTGCCAACAATGGCTACATTGGTTGCAGCCAGCAACCAATCACCAGCGGTGGGCAATATAGCAATTGCTGTTTGCGCATCATTTTAAGGGAGTTATTCCGGCAAGAAATTTAGAGCACTGTTTCTTTTTCCCCCCGACCAAGCAAGACAGTTTATTATTAGTTTCACCGCTACAGACTGTACCGCATCATTAACCCCCTCATGAATAAGCTACTGCATGACCATACGTTAATACACCACAAGAGCTACACCCAATGGATACAAACTAAAGCTTATAGCAGTAGGGAAGGTGTTCAAGCACATAGGGTGGAGGATAAAGTGAAAATAAATGCCAATGAGTTCCCAAATCTACAGTTAGGCCTGCATAATGTTTGTCTCTCATCTTTCGGGCTTTTCAACTTATGGTATATTATTCTTTTACAATAAAAAGAGGCCATCTATATTTAACTTAATGAAAATGTAGGTCAGGTGAGCTGGTACAGATCCATCTTCATAGGAAGTGCAAAATGAAGCTATGCACGGACGACAAGAAAGAAGGCACGACATAAGCACTTGTGTCATGCCTTCTTTCTTGCTCGTGCGTAGCTTAATTTTGTGCTGCCTACAAACATGTATCTATATGCTATGTGTGAAACAGGCGGTGGTTTGCGAGCATTATACTGTATACCTTATGATGCTTAAAAGCAAGATTCATGAGACAACTTTAAGCTCCTAAAATCCGCTTTTTAAATATCCCAAAAGTCACCTTCTAGTCATGACAACCTAAAAAGAACATTAAGCATGTTATGAGGCTATCTTTGCTGCACTTGGAACAGCTACTAGCAAAAAGACTTGCACTTTTCTTTATTTTTCTCAGGCATGGTCCAACACCCTTATATGGTTTTCACCTCTGCACAAGTTTGTACAATTAACAGGACGCAGCAGTACTAGATCATGCCATACAGACGGGTCCGTCTTTAATGGGTGTTCCCGATGTTGAAAGCATCCCTAACTCCTGCGAGATGAAGTAGCTGTGACACTTTTTTCATAATCCCCAAAGGCAGATCTGACGACGTTGTATAAGAGTTCCTCATAAAGAGTTTTGCTGTGCTTACTAGGATAAACCGGAGACAAAATAAGTAGGCATGACAGTAGGATAACAGAGCCGAGTGCTCACATTATAAACTTTCCACCCTGGCAAACTTTTGTTCACTATCACCTGTTTGCAGAAGGGGTAAATTTACACAATCTTGAAATTAGTTCAATGCATATCTTTTGCTATGTAGACTATGCTATCACAATAATGATCTTTTTTTTTTTCAGCACGCCAAAAAGCAGTGACATTAGTTCTATCAAAGTCTCAGGGTGAAAAGTTGAATTGCTAAAGAATAGGAGCTAAGCCTTGTAATATTCGGTCGCTCTGGACATCTCTTAAACTGTTTTCTTTGCAGTACACCACATCTGAGGCATCTTTCAACCATATAACAGCAATCATCTATGTCGCATGCTTTCCTTGTGTTATCACCACACGAATGCTACTTCCCGGTCAGAAACGCCACGAGGCCATCATCCTGACATAGCCCTCTTTGAAAGGACAGTAACAAACGCATGGTTTCCGAGAAAATAAATGCACGCAAATCAGTCAATCACTGCTGTGTGACAAAAAGACGCCCCAAACACTTTTGTTAACCTCGGAGTGTAGGACGCTGCTGTCGTTTCCATAATGCAATCCACCTGTTTACCCACGAGATGCAGCGGCAAAAGCGCTAGTGGCAAATCGCCCTCGCTCTCACAGCGTTGACTTACACCATTTCCATTGACGCAGGCTGTGGTTAGACCGTCATCAAAACCAGATAACTGCAGACGTGTGGAAAGAGGTGGGGAAGAGGTAGTGGCGAAGGGAGGAGGGTGTTCACAAGGGTGCGACAGAGGAAAGTGCAGTTAGGAGAGGGGGCGAGGATGATGCAGGACGCACACGAAGGGACATGAAGAAAAAAAAATAACAATGAAGAATACGGCAATATGACAACTAAAGCATAAGGGCATAATTAACAGTGGGGAAATGAAAGTTTGAAAGGGGTTTCGCACAGTCATTTGGGCGTCAAACAGAATTACGCTGTCACTGTGAAGTCGCGAACTATCCCATTGCCCTTCCCCCACCATAAAAAGGGCGAGAGGACGAATGACCACAACGTTGATAACCTCACTACACGCTCATACTTCATCCTGAAATTCACAAATGACAAAAGATAATTTTGCTAGCATGTCATATACTTATTACTAGGATTTATGCATTAAATGATAATATCAGTGAGAGCTAGCGCAGATTTATGCCATTACACTTTGTAAGTTGATTAAAGCAATGTCTGTCCTGAAAACCCAAGCTTCCTTTGTATGTTTCTATGCACACAATATTAAAATCATATAATAATGATAGCCTTTACAGCTTAATTGATTGAGGCACAACCACGTGACAAGAGGATGAAAAACCATATCCCAATAAGTTTGTGTACAGATCTTACATAGTCAGCTTACTTAGAAACTACACGTAAAAGTTTCCCAACACTGAACTGTGTAAATTGTCACAGTGGAATCTTAGCATTTTATCAAGTAGAGCGTAGTGCGTATCAAAACCGAACTTGTCTCGTGGCAATCGCCCTGGTTAATGTGAGAGTCTACGTTTCCTGATTAGCTCAGATTCTACAGTGTCGCATTACAAAAACATGTTCAAAATAAACCAGCTTTACCATAACACTGTCGACAAAATCGGCGCAGCAAATACAGTGGGGCTATCCTGGAAATTGAGCCACAATGTGCAAGACTTTATTGACAGAACGCCGACCACTTGGGTGCAACAAAATACAAAAGTTGAGTGAAAGGAAGCATACAGAGATTTTTTTTATCGAAGTAATTATGCTCTTGGTTAGTTGAAGTTTGTCTATTCAATATAGTTTTTCTATTGCGTTTGTCTCCTTCCTGCATAATTCAATAAGGAGCAGAGTATGAAAACAGTTCATCCGTTGAAGTAGTCCCAGATGCACTTTAAAACATATCGCGGTCATTGTGAACTGAACAAACAAAAAAGCTCTCACATTGAGATATTGCTTATATGGTATAAACGGACTTAAATAACTTTGCAACTTGACTCAATACAGTATTGTTCTGTTTGCAGGTGACCACTTTAGCAAGAAACAACCCCTTCCACCCAGAATGACATTAACGTTCTTCAAGCGTTGGGAAATGCATGCGCAAATCTTCAACGCTGCAAAATGAGTTTTCCTGGCACTATAAAAATTATCAGGGCTGGATGTTCAAAAAACCCACGTATCAGGTATCGAGAAAGGGACAACGATACACGTGCCAACATCGCATGCACCCCAAGGAGGTGATTTGTATCATAATGCTAATCAGAAATTGAGAAAAGGCAGGCAGATGCTGCGACGACAGACCTTGCTGATGTTGCCTGCATGTTCCTTGTCCACCCCGTACTCCTTCGCACCTCTGTGGTGATGCTGCTTGGTCATCAGCAGCATTCTACGTAAATACATACCAAACACTTAAAATCACGAAGAGGCTGCGCTTTAACTATTCTATTTCAGTGCCCATTGTGTGCTGCTGCTTAATCCAGCAAACATTATCCACCAACAACCCAGCAACACTGAACAGCCCTGCATTTTGCCTGTAATTAATTATGTGAAGATACCATTGTAGGGAGGCAATTGGTTGCCAGGGCCTCAAGTACGAATGTCTCGTGCGAGGGGGAGACACTTTCACCTAAAATTTAAGCGGGACAGGGCATCACTTGCCTGGAAAATCAAGAATACATGCACGCATAAACTTCCTTCTGAACACACACACAAACACACCTACAATATGCCAATGGTGGGCCATCTTTGCATGTTGAGAAATACTGATTTAATCCTAAAGCTAAAGGCAATTAACACCTGACAATAGAACTCAGTACCCTCTCACACTTTGGGGAATTAAAGGAGGCAATCAATAACAACGCATCATGTGATCCCTTGATCAACTCACATGAACTATTAACAATTATAATATAGACCAAGACCTCCCAAGAAAAGTTTATACCCAACTATAATGTAACTGCTATATCTACAAACCATAACTGTGAACTCATACACAGTCCACACGCAATACCTGAGATGCCTCTTTAACGCAACAGGTGAGTAGGCACAATTACACAAAGGAAAAAGAGGGCTCCTCAAAGTAATGGTCTAGTACGCTAAAGACATTATTGGCTGTGTTAGAACAAAATAAATGTCATGTACCAGCCGTACTAACCTTAAGTTCGCCTGCTGGGTTACAAATAATACAAGAAAAGTACGGACTAAATTAAGGTTACAACAAGCAACAACATAAGTAAAACACATGTTTTACCAGCCACATACACCCTTAAAGTTAGTGTGCAATAGTGCGGAGTGATAGATGCGCTTATTACATACTGTTTTCAAAAAAGAAACAAGGACGCCGAAATTCAAAGAAAGGCGACTCACCGGCCAACGAGATCCGTAGTTGAAATTCCCGCTGTCCGTTTGCACTCTCTGCGGGGTCAGAAAATGCAACGTCGTTATGCAGATTATGCCCCACCAAAATGCTCTAGTACCACAAGACGAAAAGCAACGAAATATTTTGCTGGCAAATCAACACAAAATTGACGTACTTGTAGCGACCACTCTCTTTGACGTAGCGGTAGGTGTCTTCTCCGGATGCATCTAACGTGATGTCATCTGCAACACATCATTCTCCGTTACTACTAGGCTACCTAAGACGGGCACTCGCTAAGGCATGCAGCGAACCTAAATGACCTCATGTGAAACGGACGTAATACCAATACTAGAATATTCATCGGCTGTCTGGGACCCGCACACACAATCTAACACAGATAAAATTGAATCAATACAGGAAAAAGCTGTAAAATTCATTTTCAACGCCCGAAAGTTAGATATTTCCGTCAGTTCTTCTGTATAGCGCTAAACTTGTGGGGATCTGAGGCGCGCCTGCGACCATTTCGCGGGCATTCCGCCACACGGCCACACCCTTTCGCTTTCCTGCTGTGTTAACACCACGTGGCGATAGATGGCGCCACGTGCGGGCACGGCGCGCGCCACTGCGCGCGCCGAGGGAGCGCTCTCTTCTCCGTTGGTCGGCGCCGGGTAAGCACGTGTTTTCCTTCGTCCGCGTCCCCTTTGGGAATCGCCGGACTGCAGCCTGCCTGGGGTGGCCTTGGGCACCTCGGCAGGCGTGTTTACTTGAGTGCTAGCTTCGGTAGCGTACGCTAAGCCCACAGCGGTGCCTAGTGCTTGAAGTGGTCGTACCACAACGAGCCGCACTTGCCGTAGGCCCAGCGCGTATGAGGTTTGCCCTAACACTCGCGACCAGGCCCAGTGGCCATCGTGAGAGTGCGCAGCATAGCCGCGAGGGACCTTTTCCCGACCGGCGTGTCAAAGCTCGCCATTGCCAGCTGCGACGTGCTCGCGGTTTTCCCCTTATTGTGAACGTCCGCGTGCGGATGCCTTTGCTACCCGCGTCCCGGGAGCGGACGTTGTGCTGTTGTTCGGGGTGCCGCCAGAGGCAATAAAGTGTTGTGTACTGTTACATTAGAACACTGTCTATTTGCCGCGCCGCGCTAAACGCCTTATCAGTTGAGCGCGCGCGGAGCGGTGCGCTACACGCGAGTGAACGGAGTAGCAGCCCTGTGGCTCGCTAAGCGTGAACCCGCGGTGATCGTCCACTGCAGTTAGGAGCGGGGTCACCATACTGGCGCCCAACGCGGTATCAAAGGCTCATTAAGCCTTTGATTAGTCTTAGCCGAGTCAGCCCGCCTTTGCGAATCAGGCTCGCCGCGTTTACCCGCGTTATGTCTGCTCCGCGTGAGTTCTGTCCGCTGACGCTTTTAGCAGATACCGCATTGCTCGAGAACAGGGCCAGTGCCCCCCTTGAGCATCACAATCGCGCACCCTCACTTTTCACAAGCCCCAGTCGGGATGACACGAGGCGCTACGTATCAGCTCCCACTGGAGAGGTAGCGTGTTTTGGGTCCGGGGCCATAGCCCAACCCGAACAGTGCACAAGGGCAAATTGGACTACCACTGCTCCCTATGGAATGCATGGCAGTTCTATGTCACAGCGCTCCGAAACGGCTCTCAGTGGAGCTTCCGGGGCGCAGATCGGCACCGCGGCCTCAGCCGTTGCCGAATTTTGCCCGCTGGCTGCTACGCAACCTAGCAGCCAAGCTCATTTCGAGCACGCGCCTGCACCGCTAGCCGCAAGCGGCCTAGCATTTTCACATGAAGCTGCCCCAAGAGTCAGCTGTGAAAAACAGGCGCTCCCCAGAGTCGCGACGGCCGGTATCCATTTTGAAACCGCGCCGCTTATCGAGCTCGGAGACAGTTCCCCATCGCTCGCCCGCGCCGCTAATGCACCGACAGCTTCCTTTGAAGCGGGCGCACAGACGCTGCTGCAAAATGCCGCCCAAATGATTCAGGCACTCACGGGGGCAGTCCAAACGCTTTCGGCCATTCCGAAACGCCCTCATCCCGCTGTCATGTTGGCCGTTCCGACCTACAGCGGGTATGGTGATCTGCAAAGTGCAAGAGATTACCTGGACTCCCTCGCACGTTATCAGAGAGCCATGGGTCTAGACGACGAGGAAGTGCTCGGACGCGTCGTCCCGGCAGCACTGACTGACACGGCGGCCAGGTGGCATCGGCTTTCCGGCCACCGAGCAGCAACCCTCGATGAGTTCCGCGCGGCCTTCCTGCGCGAATTCTTACCCGCTGACTACGAGAGTAGGATGCGGCGCGAGCTCGAGCTCCGCACACTAGCTCCTGATGAGTCGCTTCAGGAGTACGTACGCGCGATGGAAGACCTTTTTTCTATCGCTGAGCCCAGAGCCTCGAACGAGGAGCGCGTCGAACGGGTGATTAGGCAGGCACACCCGACTTTTTCGGCGTACCTGCGCGGCAGTCGCTTCCGTGATTTGGAGCAATTGGCCGTCGAGGCAAAGCGCATTCAAGGCGACATTCTCGCCGCGCGTTCCTATCACCCGCCACCGCCAGCCAGCGAGGCCCTCGAACCGCGCTGCGCGTGGGGAGGGGCCATGACCCTTTCTCAGCGGCAACAGCCCGCCGGAGCTGCCTTTGCGGCTACCCCTACAGCTGGGCGCGCGTGGGAGATAAGCGATCGAGCTTTAGATCCCTACACGTACGGGAGGCGGGCAGCCGGTGCTGCATCGCAACTCGACGCGCGCGAGCAGGGACGAAATCCGACCCAGCGCATCACCGGTGGTAACGGTCGTCAGAGCGGTTCCTTTGATCACGCGGCGAACCCACCCCGGCAGCTCGCAGCTGCTCCGTCGCGGGAAAGGGACCGCAATGGAGTGCGCTGTTTCCGCTGCCGTCAACGAGGGCACATAGCGAGGGAGTGCTCCGCGTTTGTGCCTCCTGTGAGGCAGGGAAACGGGAGCGCGGGCCGTTCGTGAAGGCACGAGCGGCCGAACCCTTGCTTCTCCCCTCTGCGTATCGGGCAAGCAGTCTTTCTGGTGCGCACGCGCCGTTTATTTCGGTCACCATTGTCGGTCGCAAATTCTCGGCGTTGCTGGACACGGGCGCAAGCGCTTCGTTGTTTGGCGAACAGGTGTTGTCCCACTTGCAGAAGCGCTCGGTGCGCTTGCGGGACAGCCGAACGACATTCACCCTCGCGAAAGGCGTGGCCCAGTCGGCGGGCGCCGCGAGGTTGACTGTCAGATGGGGAGGTCGAATGAGACGCGCGCGTTTCGTTCATCTTCCAGGGCTCAGTGTTCCTGTGATTCTCGGTCGGGACTTTCTCCTAAAAACCGGTATCGTAGTGGACATTGCGAATGGAGGCTATCGCGACGGACCTTTTTCCGAGCTAAAGCCGTTCATCAGCCCTCCGGCGCTTTCTGTTGCCTGTGCAGTTGAAGCGTCGAAACCGTGTCACGTGCAAACTTCGGGGGCAGGCCCCTGCGCTATGCACTCGTCGGCTCAAAATCCCCATCGGGATCGAGCGGCACGACACGAAGAGGCTCCGCATCCTTTGATCGCCTGTGCGACTCAATTGAATGATGCACAGAAGGCTCGTTTGTCGGCACTGTTGCGCGAATACGATGAGCTCTTCACCGATCAACCCGGCTGTACCGATTTGGTGAGCCATTCGATCGAAACTGGCGACGCGCTTCCTTTGAAGTGTAACCCCAGGCCCGTCAGCCAGGCCAAGAGGCAGGTAATTGACGGCTTGCTGGACGAGATGCTCTCATCCGGCATTGTTCGCCGTTCGTCCAGCGCCTGGGCGTCTCCAATTGTGTTGGTGCCTAAGAAAGATGGCAGTCATCGCCTGTGCGTAGACTATCGCCGTCTCAACGGAGTGACTCGTAAGGATGCCTATCCGCTCCCCACGATTAGCTCCATCGTAGGAAACCTCGGCACTGCGCGGTATTTTACCACATTAGATGCCTCCAAAGGTTACCTACAGGTCCGGATGGGTAATCGTGACCAGTGTAAAACTGCGTTCACGTCCCACAGAGGGTTGTTCGAGTTTACTCGTATGCCTTTTGGTCTTTGCAATGCTCTTGCGACTTTTCAGAGACTCATGGACCGCGTCCTCGGGGAAGCAAAGTGGTCTTACTGCATGTGCTACCTCGACGACATCGTGATTTATTCACGAACCTTCGAAGAGCACTTGGCCCACATTGCCGATGTGCTCGGGAGGGTGAGAGCCGCCGGGATGACGTTAAATCCCGCAAAGGCCCAACTAGCGCAAATCCGAGTTCAGTTACTTGGCTTCACGCTGGGCGAAGGCTCCATTGAGCCAGATCGGGAGAAACTTCGAGCAATCCTCGATTTCCCCGCGCCCAAGGACGTACGCGGCCTGCGCCGCTTTCTCGGAATGGCCAATTTTTACCGGTCGTTCATTCCGTCCTGTGCCCGAGTGCAGGCGCCCTTGACCAAGCTCCTGGGTAAGTCAGCTGAGTGGCGATGGGGACCTGAGCAGCAAGAGGCGTTTTGCCGTCTGTCTAGCGCCATTGCGGAGACAGCGCAGCTCAAGCTCCCCGACCTGACCAAACCGTTTGTTGTCCAGACTGACGCAAGCGATCTGGGATTAGGAGCAGTTCTCCTACAGGAATACGATGGTGTGTTGCAGCCGCTGGCCTTTGCCAGCCGCTCGTTGATACCCGCGGAAAGGAATTATTCCGTGACCGAGAGGGAGTGTCTCGCCATCGTGTTTGCACTGCGGAAGTTTGATGTCTACCTGGATGGGACGAAATTTGTGGTGCAAACAGATCACAGCGCGCTTAGCTGGCTGATGCGGCTCCGTGAGCCTGCAGGCAGGCTAGCGCGCTGGGCTCTCCTAATACAGCATTATGACTTTTCAGTGCAGTATCGGAAGGGGAGCACTAACGTGGTAGCTGACGCGCTATCTCGTGCCCCAGTGTCGACCAGGAGCCTGGATCCCGGTGCGACAACCGCTAGCGGTGCCTTTGCGCAAGCGAGCGGCGCGGGCGAAACGGCGGCAGAGCCGCCGAGTGGAGAAAAGGGTGAGTGCGGCGACAAGCAAACCCTTTCCACGGGCCAGGCAAGCAGCTCGCCGCGAAGCGGGCGAGAGGGGGAGCGAAAGGGAAGCGAACCCGTGACGCCAATGCGAGCGGAGGCGATGGCTGCAGTCCTGAGTGGGAACGATACCAAGCTCCCCTTTGGGAGAATGGGAATCGCTTTCAGCAGACAAGAGTTACTGAAGGCCCAGCAAGATGATCCGTTTTGTCGCGAGTTGAGCGACGGTCTCAGGGAGACGGAGCGCCGAGACGCTGCTGGTAGTGCGGCGGGCGCAGGGGGACGGGAACCGGCGTGTGTCGCTGGGTCCCCCGCGGATACATACTTGCTGGACCATGATGGACTCCTGCTGAAATACATAGCCACCGATGAGGAGTCAGTGGACCCGTTTAAGGTGGTTGTGCCCAAAAGTCTGAGAGGCGCACTGTTGCGAGCCTCTCACGACGAGCCCATTGCCGGTCACCTGAGTGGCTCTAAAGTTTTTGCGAAACTGAGCAAGGTTGTGACTTGGCTTGGCATGAAGCGTGACATTTTTCGCTATTGCCGTTCCTGCCACGTTTGTCAAACGGTGAAATCAAGGGGTGGCAAGCCGCCCGGCTTGATGAAACCGATTGTCAGTGAGCGTCCGTGGCAAGTAGCCACCTGCGATCTAATGGGGCCGTTCCCCAGGAGTAAGCAGGGGTTCATACATCTGATGGTAGTTGTTGATCATTTTTCCAAATGGGTGGAGCTGTTTCCGCTGCGGAAAGTGACAGCGCGAGCGGTGCTAGAGAGGCTACAGGAAGTGTTTTGTCGGTTCGGCTTTCCGAAAAGATTGATCACGGACAATGCGTCGTATTTCACCGCTTGGGTGTTTGGTAATACGTGCCGTTCCCTAGGAATAGATCACTGCACCACTTCGCCCTACCATCCCCAGTCCAATTTGACGGAGCGAACCAATCGTACGCTCAAACCGATGTTGGCGGCCTTTGCCGAAAGTCAAAGGGACTGGGCAGACCATTTGAGTGAACTCGCGTTTGCAATCCGAACCTCCGAGAGTCGCTCTACTGGTTTCTCTCCCGCCTTCCTTAATTTCGGAAGGGAGTTGGCAAATCCGGTGACCAGTGTCATGCAATGCCAGCTCGGAGACGAGGAAGAACCGGCAGACTGTTCTGCTTACGCTTCCACACTTCGGGACAGGCTTGGTCGAGCTCTCAGTAGAGCGAGGCAAAGTTTGGCATCGGCCAGGGCCGAGCAAAAGGCCCAGTACGACCGAAAACGTCGCCACCTTTCATTTAAGGTGGGTGACCTCGTCCTGAAGCGCAACCACGCTCTTAGCGACGCGAGCAAGGGTTTCTCAACTTCGCTCGCTCCAAAGTGGCTTGGTCCGTACCGAGTGGAAAAAGCTTGGACTCCACTCGCGTACTTGCTGAAAGACCCGCTTTCGGGAAAACTCAGCCGTGCCCATATCGCAGACCTGAAAGCCTTTGCGTCAAGGTCTGACGAGCCTGCGCCAGCGCCCAGTGGCTCTTCGTGCAAGCAACGGCGCACTCCCGGCGCGGCGGACCGCATTCGGACCACGCACCGGTATAATCTGAGGAAGCGGTCACCTTAGTGATTTCGCGCCGGACGGCGGGCTTATTTCCGCAACCGAAGGCCCTAATTTTTACTTGCTAGTCTCAGTTAGCTAACTTCTTTACAGCCAGTGCTTGCAAAAAAGTCTGTTCCGCCCAGTTACTGCTGCTGATTGTCATTTGAGTGTTGTTGTTTACTTGATGTTTTTCAGTGTTTTCTTTTTTTTCTTCTCGCTGGAGGAGGGGATTTGAATTGGTGCTTTAGCGTGGGGAGAGGGACAAATGACACTCTCCGCTTCCCTTGCGGTGCGCGTTTGGAGAGACCCGACCATCGGAGGTGTGTGTGCGTGTGTGCGTGTGGCGACAACTTAGGAAGTCACCGACCCCTACACCACTTTGGACTCTGGAGGTGTTCGGAGACCTGCACGAGGCTCCTGCACGAGGCCATCTGTCGCAGACGCTCTGCACGACTCGACCGACGCCGAAGCCAGTATATTTGGCGACCATTATTCCAACAGAAGGGCCGGCTGTCGCAGCGAGGTCCATCCGAACCTCCACCGAGGCGGCGTTCGTCGGACTCGCAGGGCTGTCGTCAACATCGACCAGACGAAGGTGAGCCCGTTCCTCGCATGAAGGCCTCAACCAGAACCCTCCCCTTGAACTCTCCCATCCACGCAATCACCCAAGTCAGACATTACGTGACGCTGCCCCTCCGAGCCGTGAACGCGCTCTTGCGTGAGCATCATGAACTCCCGTTACCCCTCTTCCGCGGAGCCCTTGTATTTGTCAAGTGTATTCTTGTGTTGTTTATTTTTTTTCTTCAGCAGCAGTTGCAGAGCGAGGCTGAGGCTAGCTGTTGCCCATTGCATGACGCCTTTGCATGCATGGGCGACGACCGGCTGCCTTTGCAGACCGGTATATAGGGTGAATTAAGGAGAGGAGGATGTGGGGATCTGAGGCGCGCCTGCGACCATTTCGCGGGCATTCCGCCACACGGCCACACCCTTTCGCTTTCCTGCTGTGTTAACACCACGTGGCGATAGATGGCGCCACGTGCGGGCACGGCGCGCGCCACTGCGCGCGCCGAGGGAGCGCTCTCTTTTCCGTTGGTCGGCGCCGGGTAAGCACGTGTTTTCCTTCGTCCGCGTCCCCTTTGGGAATCGCCGGACTGCAGCCTGCCTGGGGTGGCCTTGGGCACCTCGGCAGGCGTGTTTACTTGAGTGCTAGCTTCGGTAGCGTACGCTAAGCCCACAGCGGTGCCTAGTGCTTGAAGTGGTCGTACCACAACGAGCCGCACTTGCCGTAGGCCCAGCGCGTACGAGGTTTGCCCTAACACTCGCGACCAGGCCCAGTGGCCATCGTGAGAGTGCGCAGCATAGCCGCGAGGGACCTTTTCCCGACCGGCGTGTCAAAGCTCGCCATTGCCAGCTGCGACGTGCTCGCGGTTTTCCCCTTATTGTGAACGTCCGCGTGCGGGTGCCTTTGCTACCCGCGTCCCGGGAGCGGACGTTGTGCTGTTGTTCGGGGTGCCGCCAGAGGCAATAAAGTGTTGTGTACTGTTACATTAGAACACTGTCTATTTGCCGCGCCGCGCTAAACGCCTTATCAGTTGAGCGCGCGCGGAGCGGTGCGCTACACGCGAGTGAACGGAGTAGCAGCCCTGTGGCTCGCTAAGCGTGAACCCGCGGTGATCGTCCGCTGCAGTTAGGAGCGGGGTCACCATAAACTGGAAACCCTGAAATGGAGACCGTGTTGAAATAACGAAGCTGTTCTATTTCATATATAATAATAAGCTGGCAATACAAAAAATGAAATATATTAAACCAATCTTGCGCCACGAAACACGTGCCTCCAATCTTGAAAAAGTGACTGAGCCCCTATATGGAGGTACATTTTTTTCCCTGCACAAACAAAGAGTGGAACAATTTACCACCAGAAATTCTTGAAAGTGTCGATCTCAACTAGTTTCTTCGTGCGTTAGCTCTTTCCCAGGTGGTCAAAATTTCCGGAGCCCTCCACTACGGCGTCTCTCATAATCATATGGTGGTTTTGGGACGTTAAACCCCACATATCAATCAATCAATCAATCTCTTAATCTCGAGCAGCTAACGTCATCGTTAGCGCACTGCTCGAAACACCGTCTACTTCCGGTTGCAGCGACTTAGTCCCTTCGTCGACTACGTGCTTGTTGGCGAAGCGCTGCTGCCGTGCCGACCCGTGCTTACACGAATCGTGGTGGTATAGACCCTTTGTTAAGGACCGCAGTAGCCGATTAGCAACCATGCCCATGCACGTGGGCAACATAGCGAACAACAACAAGCGGTGCAGACAGCTCCTTGCAGGCTAACAGGAAGTTGCAGGCTGAATAATAATAGTGTCAGCTCACCTATGACGCTTTCAGATTGTAAAATCTTGTTTCTGGACAACACTTGATTACAGTGGAACCTTCCCTGTTGCATTTCCCTTTCCCTTTGTATTTTTATTGTATACATTATTTTCTGTGAATAAATTATAAGTTTAAGTCTGCACTTGTTTGTGTTCTCTTTCTGTGCCCCATCAGCTTATGCTGCCATTATTTCTGTGTGAATATATACCAACTAGGCCATTTTCTAACCCAGTGGTTTTCAGCCATGGATGTGTCGGGGACCCCTTGTGGACTGGTGGAAGTGATGGGGGACCCCTTGCAGCGGAGGGGAAGTACGTAGGTAAATTAACGCAACTGGAGCGTGAAATAGGGGCCTTTTATTGCTACCAAAAACATCAAACAAACATGCCACATCACTTCATTTTGGACAGTTCATTAATGCATGGCCAGTCACGCTTAAAGAAAAATGTGGGTGAGGGGTTCGCCGATCATAGAAATGGCTTCGCAGACCCCCTAGGATCCGCAGACCCCCATTTGAGAACCACTGTTCTAACCGTTCCTCCAAAAAGAAACTGGCTTGGCAGTTTTTATATAAGAGTGTACGTAGCCTGTGCAACGAACTTGGATCTTTCTCCAGTCATCAATACTATTATCTTAGATCCCTGCAATAGACAACAGTTATTTCAGGTGGCTACATTTCAATTCAAATCCTATAACTGTTGGCAGTTTTTAGTAATTCCAGATTACCTCCTTGTCTTGAAAAGAAGCATGGCAAGTTTCCTTGAGATGTACGAGATTCCTCAAAACTTGTACCCCTGTCTAACAGCGACCCCAAAACTCTGTTTAAGTGCTTTGTCTTTTCATCAAGGGCGATACAGTTCATGTTACACGGCCTCTATTCAGCTGCAGAAATTTAAAGGAAATTTCAGAAAAGGGAGTTCCGTAATAGCCATTTGGGCTCAATGGAGTACTCTCGTTTCCACATAGCTACTGCTACGAAAAATACCGTGCTAACAAAATCATCTCTCATCTTTATTATATATTTTAAGACTACTTTAACTAGGTGTAGCAATACACGCTGTGTAATGCAAGTTCCCATTCTATTTTTGGGGACATCAATGTGTGCATTCTCTACACCCAAAGCTTTGAAAAGGCGCCACCAGCAAGTGTTGTGCTGCATTGTTTGTTTATACATGTGTGAGATGTATGCACGTGCACGGCGTACTTTCTCGCGTACTTTCTCAGTTTAGTTTTATTAGAGTGCATGCAAAAAAAGAAGAGAGACGTGTACACTGTGTTAAGGGCGTCTACATATGTGAAAGATGGGATGTTTTGACAAGTGCAGCAGTGCTGTTTCTGCCCGGTGCGACTCCCGTCGAAGGCTTGCACTAATATGTGTAGTATGGCCACAACTCTATTCTCGCAAAGCTCCATTAGGGAGTTGAATGCTGAGCGGAGGTAAATGGAGTTTGGTTGTTGCCTTGCAACAGGGGTATTACAAGCTTTCACACAACAGAAAACTGCCAATGGAGATAAAGTTTTCGGAAAGGCAAAAGTTAAGTTTTCAAAACATGTAACCTTTGAATTCAAATATTCGAGAACAGCTATGAAAAAAGACCATATCTATTCAATGGAGCTGAATAGAGATATAAATTTTCTGCACCTTTATTTTGAATGCTGCAGATTGTTAAACCATTCAAAATAAAAGAAACCCCATGTCAAAGAGTGGCAACATAGTTTAAGTGAACCCCTTTTATCAGCATAAGCATTTCCCAGTATGCACAAATAATCTGGTGTTGCATCTGTCAATTATTATAGGTGTGTTTTTTTTTTCCGTTTTTTTTTGGGGGGGGGGGGGGGGGGGCTTGCTGCTTGAATGACAACAGTCAGTAGTAATTAGGGATCACAGCTTATACTACAGAATATTATTTGCTATGGTTTCATCCCTTCCTATAGAGCAGAGCTCCTTAGTGTTGCAAAAAACTTTCCTGTTGTAGCCAGGGCTATTTGTATCGGGTGATAGTTTTTCAGCGGTGAGGCTCGCGAGAGCACTTGCAATCGTACCTCCATGAACACAGAAGTTGCACTTGTACTTGTCCAGAGTTTCCAATGTTGTGATGTAGGGTGCACCTTCAACGACCTACAATGAATACACAAACAGAAATAAAATGTTACAACTACACAGAATCATATTTCCGAAAATAGCAAATGACAACACTTGATAAGCATACGCGCATAGATACACATATACACCTAAGACTGCAGCATATCCACAAGGTTTCATGTTTCATAAGGAACACTAAATAGCATAGGCTGGCAGCAGTGCCTGCCTAATGTGGTTTAGTTAATTAATTAATTTAAAAGTACCTTACGAGCTCCTACAGGTATTGCAGAAGGGGCATATAAACGAGTATAGTAATGAGAACAAAGAAATAAAGTCCCAATAACATACATGAGAAAGTAAATTAACAGTAAGTTAGATAACAAACAATTACAAATTAGTGCTAGATTATACTAGAGCAATACATAGGTAGGCATACAGCCTAGCTATTCAATAGCTGGACTACCTGGAATCTAGGGTTTTATGTGCACCAGAACCTCTACTTCAATATGAAGCCTGTCATAGTGGAAGACAGCAAAATAATTTTGACAAAAACTTTAACCTAAATACAAGAGCAGTTTTGCGATTTACCACCTTAAGGACTGCTGCCGTGGCTGGAATCAAACTCATGATTCAAAACTCTGCGACACATTGGGATAGCCGCTGGGGTAACCACAGCAGATCATCCTCGGATTCATAGCATGGCAGCAGATACACAAACAGATACACAAAAATACATATATCTTCTGCTATGTGTTCAACCATGCTGCTTTTTAATTGCGGCAGAAACAGGAAAGCATGTGATCTTGAGCAGAGCTAGCTGAAGATCAGCTTCAACAGCATCAACTTTTGATGTGGGCACATCACAAGTTGATGCTGTTATTAAAAGAGACGAGAAATTCGCCATGCAGCGATCGCGAGCATCTACAAAAAAAATGAACCCATCGAGCAATTCCCCTTTTGTCGTTCTTTCATCTTGGCGTTGCACAAAGATCATGTGCCGTGTGACGCCCTGCGGCAAAAATAATGTTCCACGCTCGCCGCTTAGGCCATAAGTGGTGCTGCCTGGCACTCCCAGAATCCAATGCACATAAATAGCCGACAAAAGTGGATGATGGAGAGTCTTCTGTCGTAGCTCAATCGGTAGAGCATTGAACGCATAATAGAAAAGTTGTGGGTTTGAACCCAATTAATGCATGGGGTGTTCTTTTGTGCACCTCAATTCATGCCAATTCTGATTATTATTACAGTAAAAAAACACAGAGAAGGCACTATACGCTTTCATGTGCCTACCTGTCTATTGAATTCATTTGGTGGTGTCCCACAAATAAATGAGCCCCTCGATCTATGTCCCTTCTTTCATTCAAGTGCCTAAAGGTGTGGTAAAGGATAGATAACTAGGAACACCAAGAACTATGAGCAGCGGAGTGATTGAACTGGCACATCAGAACTCTTGCACACACACACACACACCTCGTCAACCCACTTGATGGCACGGACCATCTTGTATCTCTCCTGCTCCGTGAACACGGGTGGTCCCTTGTGGTTCTTTATCTCCTCTGGGTCACGGAAGGCCATGGAAGAAAATGGGAAGAAGATATGGCAGATAAGACTTGAGACTAGGAGCCCCAGTTCACTGCCTTTTATTAAAGACGTTAGCCTTTCTTAAGGACCTTCGACGCAAAAATTTTGGTGTGCCTGTCTGTGCGTTTGTCTGATTGTCCACCCTGAACGGTACCCTAAACAGCACCAAAGTGGCCAAACGATGCTCCAAACGGCTGACTCCATCCGCAGCGCCCACCAATATTGCTTAAAATTCAGTGTTCATACTTGTGCAATTGTCAATTAAAAAGCAATTATTGTGCATATCTGAGGCACCATAACAACATGTCAATATTTTGTATGTGTGGCTCTTACTCAGATATGTGCAATAAGTAATTATAAGGACCATAGCATTTAACACGTTGTGCTAACCAGGCAACGCTTGCACGAAAAGGGAAGTGTTTCCAAAGCTTTGCGAAGATGACACGGTGGTGGCACCTACCGTCGCCTTGCGTTCTACCCTTTATCACCTCAAAGACGGGTGCGCAGGGCATGCGCGCTTCGTTTTCCGAGATAACTGCCAGATAGCGCTCATGTTTCACGTGTGACGTGACTTGATGCACTCGTTCGCCTCCAATGCACGCTCGTGGCACTCTAACACAGCGCCTCCAGAATACCATTCACAGATTTTCTTGTGCAGAACATCGAATAAATGTTGCGTTCACTCTCTCCAGACGCAAGACTATCGTCTTTTAATGAGATTTGCAGTGTAACATACAAATACAGGGCCATTTTTTTTCTAAGTATTCTTAACTTCAGACAGATATTTCAAGGCAGCTAGAATCTTTCTGAAAATGCTTGAGGATCTATAGTGAACTGCAGGAAAATTCGTAACGCTAATAACCCAACAGAGGGCTAAAATTGCATGTTCTTGAAGTCGGGAAGACTGGCGAGGAAGGAGCGAGCATAAGCAAGAAAGTGGAATGTGATTAAACTCTGCCTACTAGATTAAAAAAAAACAGCACTGGGATATTCACAGCAAGCTTTGAGAAGTGACACTAATGCCATAAATGTTCCATTTCAGATTAAAGCTGTGCTAACAATAAAAGTGAAGTTAGACATATACAATGCCACAGCTGTTGTCGCACCAATGTTTCCACACCCTATGAATGCCAGTGAGTTTACCAATCCACAGATTGTTCACACTAAAAATGAAAACAAGTAAGAAAAAAACCTATAGAGGTATGTGCCCCTCTTTTTATTGTTACTTTTTGGTATTCTGTTTTTCGTTCATGTTGCTTGAAATGTATGTATTCACTTAAATCCCCCCCTATGTAATGCCCAATTGGGCCTTTAGGGTATTGAAATAAATAAATAATGTTTACATACTTGTACACAGTGAACAGCTGTTTTACCCAGCAATAATTTTATCAGGAAAGTGACAGTGCTCCATCATTTGAATTTCTTTTGCATGTAACCCCCACCTCCAATTGTGAACTGCAGCAGAGGTTTTCAAAAATATCTCCGCGTATTGCTGCAAAGTTAGCTTCCTTGCGTAGCTGTGCAACACTGCCTTGAAGCCACCTTGAGCAGCGGATTTTGCATATTTTGCTTTGGCATTTAGCTCCCAATTCTAATGCGACAGCGTTAAAGAGCACGTTTAACAGATAATATAGCATCAACGTCATTGGTTGCGAGCGAAAATCATCTTTGCGTGACCGAAAAATCTAGAAATATGCAAATAAAATAAATGATGAAAACTTCTGGATCTGAATGGGGATTGAACCCAGGTCATGTGGGTGGCAAGGGAGCGTTCTACCACACCGCCACGCCTCTGCTTGTGAATACAATGAAAATAACTTCCTCTGATTGGAAATTCAGTGAAAGTAACTTTCATGCTTTACAAACACACACGTCTCGTATACACGCTTTACAATACAACATTAAACATTGCCATAATAATTCATGGTACAAGCGTACATTGTCGTCGGGCATCAGAACATTGGATTATCAGAATGACGTCATAGTTTAAAGCCAGTCACCCACTACAAAAGGCTCACACGCTACTAGACCTTTAAGGCCACATAGTGGGTGCATTGCAAGTTCGAAAAGATTTCACACAATAATTGTGAGAAGTATCCACTAGGAACAGACCATAATTATCACATTCAACTCTTAAAGACGAAGCTTAGGGGTACCCCTCTTTTTTTTTTGCTTGTTTTTGCTGCAGCCTGTACACGAGAAAATACACTACAAAAGTTCAAATGCAAACTCTACCCTACAATGTACACTTGTGAATACCATTACAAAGTTAACAGATTAATTGCAGTGTATAATGTCCCAAAATGCACTAGCAATGGATTATGCCACAATAGAGGGCACTCAAGTAATTTTTTACACTTGGTGTTCTATAACGTGCTCATAAATTTAGGTGCACTAGCGTGTTTCATTCTACTTCAATAAAAATGTGGCAACCAGAGCTAGAAACAAAACTTGTGACATCCCGCTTTGCAGTAAAAAAAAAAGTTTTCAAAGCAGGTTCAATCCTTGCAGCAGTCATGCACACACAGCCCCACGTCTTTCAAGTCGCAAGGGAACGAAAATGACTCGAGTGGCAGACAACAGTGCAAATATCCCAGTCCTTGACATTCACTATCATAAGTTGCGCCATGGCACTTTGGACAAGAGAAACAGTCAAGCCCACTGATAACACTTGTTTGCTTCCGGCAAAAAGTCAATGACATTGGATGTGCTGCTCAACTGGTTGCCCAAAAGCGACCAAACTGCATCGAACTGCATAGCTCGCACACAAGCAATGCATCCAAAAATTCAAATTACATCTCAACACACTAAATACAACTACATAAAAAAAACATGCACTTTAATTCTATAGACACAAAATAGTATGCATCAATGATTATTGATCCTCCAAAAATAGAGGAAAAAGGGGGCTATGAGGAGGCCATCTTATCAATCAATCAATCAATCAATCAATCAATCAGTCAATCACTGATACAAAACATGCACCTACCCGCCCAACAGTAACTACTAGTGTTCTTCCAGGATGGCTTTAACAGCATAAGGTCCTTTGAGGTGCATTAAACCAAACTACGTGGCCGCTTTATTTTAATTTGAAGGTCATGCCACAAGACATTAAAGGACCACTCACCAGGTGTGACAATTTTGAGCTGACAAGCCCAATGCGTAGACAAGGCGTTCATGATCACGTTTGCCAAAATTTGCAACGCCACGCGCCACAGATATGGGTCAAATTTAAAGATGAACGCTGCTCCCCCTCCCCTCTGCCGGCGCACGCCTAGAGAATGAGGGCATGACGTGGACGTAAGGATGTCCCTACGTACACGGCAATGCAATGACGTTGGTCCTCTACGTAGACGACTCTGCTCTGATGTTGTCAACAGTATACCTCGTGACATGGCAAAATTATTTAACACAACATGCATAGTTTATGTGTTGGTTGCTTTTAGAGATTATTAAAACTTGAAATAAATAATGAGAGGCAATAAAAAATTGTGCGCGTTTTTTTTTTTTTTTCTTTTTTCCCCGTGAAATGCTACAAGATGCGGGGCTAATGTGCCAGTGTTTCGCATGCGTTCGTGTCCCCGTGGCGAGCGAATTGATCAGAAGACCACCGTGAAATGCTCCTACGCATTCGCGCACTCATTGTGCTCATCTACTCTACCGCATCTAAGTCAGCATTTTCAAACCATCCCGCAGAAACAGGCAGGAGGCCACAAAATAATACTGGTTAACAAAGCAACGCCGCTCGCGTGCTCGGGGGTTGGACTTGTTTGGCCACGTCATGCGCACGTCACCTCTTGGTCGGATGCTTGAGAGGGTAGGGAAGAGATTTGGCTTGCGAAGGCTACGCAGAGGACCGGCAAGGGTTTCGAGCTCGCCTCCTCTCATCGTTTCACGCTGCTTCAAAAAACCTGTTTTCTCCACTTGTGATCAACCGATACGAAAAATTTTTGTGACAAAATGTTCCTTATCGGACACCCAACAACTTCCACTGTCTAACTAAAATTTGCTATGAGGCCTGGTGAGTGGCCCTTTAACGAGAAAAAAGCATGTAGGCAACTCAATCATTGAATCAAGAATGAACCACGACATGGTGGAATTTTTATTTTAGTCTATTTGTAATGTTCACTTTTGCCTCAGAAATTCAACAAGAAAACAAGAGGATTAATGTGCATAAAGACCTAAACAAGGCACACAAAAAAAATCTGAATAATCCGGCCACTAAAGAGGGTGTTGGCAGTGATATAGAAATGAAAGTCCAAACATGACATTTCATTCTGGCAGTACTAAAAATGTCACTTCAACCGAGTCTTTCTTGGCATATTTATGCTAAGTGAACAAGTTCCGGGGCACAGCCAATGCCCTATAAACTCAAAAGTTAGCACAGTCAAGGCCTGTAAGGTGTCTATTTGAAGGAACTCAATAACGGAGACAAAGAGAGAGAAAAAGAAGGATCAATTGTACTGCGAAAAACCACTACAGAAACAAACGAACATAATGGCCCAGGTTTTGGGCCCCAGACCAGAATGAATTTTTGGCTCGGAGCCTTTTTTCTCTGAAATCAGAGCGATATTTACAAACTGGTAGGCAATGTTTATCCTTTCATAAATGCAAATAACTTCACTTCTAAATAACTGGGCTTCTTTTTTAACTGCCATGATGATCCAAATTCTAGAGTTCGCTGCCTGACATTTGTAACAGCTTATAATTGTAGCCCTTTGCACACAACCCGCTCGCAGCACGAATAAGTCAAAATATTGGGGTGGCGTCATCTACCTTCTTCCGCCATAGTACACCCACCCTCTCTGCCTTCAAACCCTAATCGCAGCACCCCTCTCGAGAGGCATTTCTTGGACAGCCAGCTTCGAGTGCGAACACGTGCCACGCGACCATTCAAGCGGTCAACCTTTATCCGGGTCGCGTGCGCTTGCTATCTGCATGATAACAAAGACAGTCTAGCCACTTATGCAATACATGCATCTGTCAATTATTATATCTTCTTTCTTTGTTGTTTTTTTTTTGGGGGGGGGGGGGGCATGGCTGCTTGAATGACAACAGTCAGTAGTAATCAGAGATCACAGCTGGTACTACTCATTCGAACCTCACTCGTGCACCGCATTTCTACAATCCCAGATGCTCGCAGAAACAAGCACTGAGAAACAGTATGGCTGTATAACTGGCAAGTTTGACGTTTCCCAATTACATTTGGACTACATTGGCCGTAATCAAGTTAAGTCGCCACATGCTGCACTATTATTTAAAAGTAACACCACACGAAGTAAATTATAGGTCAATTTACATGCCTTGGTGCCTGGGGCACAGTCAATGTTTAATCATACCTATGCTGTGATTAATTCATTGGTGCCTAAGATGTGACTTCATTATTCAATGTGTTTACACAGCTGTTTTACTGTTATTTAGTTAAACTGCTCTTTTTCTGTGGATTGCTTAGGACCGTAGTCCTTGAACAGTTTCTTCTTTTCCTGCAGATAAAACATAAGTACTTAGAAAAATATATATATTATTATTACCATTGCCATAATTAAACCATGGTTTCATACCATTACACTAATCTATGACGAGCCTATAGTAAGTGCTACGATTTCAATGACATCTGGGTTTTATGAAGTTATCATTTGAACAAATCCAGACTTTATTTTAATGCTGCAAATAGCAAATAAAATGAACTAGTTGTGAATGTGAGGGTGTTGTGAGGCTACCATACAGTGCTACTGTAAAAACCTCAATTAACTGACGAAAACACCACATCTTCTACAACAAAGCCATGACAAATGTTGGAATCATTATATAGTACAGCTGATCTTTACTTATCACAGTGGCTGAGTGTAATAGTGGAGTGGCAGATTTTCAAAAAAGAGTTTAGTATAACTACGTGACTTAACAATATTAACTATTGAGATTTAACGTCGCAAAACCATTGTATGATTATGAGAGACATCGTAGTGGAAGGCTCCAGAAAATTCGGTCACCTGGAGTTCTTCAACGTGTGCCTAAATCTAAGCACACAGGCCTCAAGCATTTTCACCTCTACCGAAAATGCAGCCGCCGCGACCGAGATTTGCTCTCGCAACCTTTGAGGTAGCAGCCGAGTACCTTAGCCACTAGACCACCGTGGCCGGTTGACTATGTGGTTTAAAACACAGTACAGTAAACTTTGAGTGTCAAGCAGTGACACTAAGCTTTCAAAAATGTGAGTGTGAAATGCTCGTCACTAGTTATAAACTTATTAAATTGAACTTCTAGATGCCACAAATATGTGTTGAAGCCAGATGTGCTCAACGAATGTTTTGAGATTTGCATTGCACTACATTAAATATAAAATTCTGACATTAAAATTTGAGTGAAAAAGTAAGTACACTTGTACGGGAGTGTGAATTAAGGTGATTGGCTCAACCCAGATTTCAATACGTAGCATTGACTTACGAATAACATGGAAGAAAGCAATACACCCACCAGTAACAAAAACTTACATCTGCTGCAGGGTTCATGTGTTTACATGTTTTAAACTAAATGAAATATCGCAAGTTTACTGGTAAGACAGGCACTGAAACTCAGTTGTGGAAAATAGCAGTACAGTAATTAATGTTATTGAGTTCCGCTATGCTTCTCAGAATTTTTTTTTAGGGCTGATGCGGTTTGCATCATTATTTCTTTGAAACAAAGAAAAAAAGAAACAGAACATACTGCAAGTTATGTTCGTACTGCCTAAAACTGTGCCCGAAATGGAAAGCATGAGAGGGTGCTGAATGCGTAGCATTTGAAGTGGCCGGCTTGATTGATTTATTTTTGGAATTTAACATCCCAAAATTACCATATGATTATGAGAGACGCCGTAGTGGAGGGCTCTGTAATTTCTGACCACCTGGGATTTTTTAACGTGCGCCCAATTGTGAGCACACGGGCCTACAGCATTTTCGCCTCCATTTAAAATGCAGCCGCCACAACCGGGATTCAATCCCATGACCTGCGGGTCAGCAGCCGAGTAACTTAGCCACTAGACCACCGTTGCGGGGCTGAAGTGGCAGACTGTATGAACATTAAGGAGGAGTTGTTTTTCTTGAAAAGGCACTGTGCTCCCGTTGAACTGGTGCTTCCATATAGGGGGAAAAAAAGAGCTTGCTTTCATGAGCATCAGCAAAAGAATAGAAGGCGCAAGCAAAGATGGAAATGCAAAGTGCTACGAGTCAGCTTTGCAAAAACGAGAGTGCACTTTTGGAGCTGAAAGCTTTTTCTGACTTTTTTTTTTTTCAGTCTTTTAGCTACCTAGTCACACACACAAACAAGGCAAAAAACACGAGCAGGGCCCCGAAAATCTGACAACGAATCTGATCGAGCTTCCCAGCCACGTGCCAACAGACACATCCGGTTCAACCCAAGGTCAGGAACGTCATACTGCGCAAACGCATCCCTCTTATCGTGGATATCAGCACAGCTGTCGTACGATACACACTCAGAAGCGCAAAAATTTTCCGCTGTGTTGACGGAAGCTGCAAGTAGGAAAAAAAAACTTCCATGGCTTAAGTGAATTACATTCACTCTTGGCATGTGCAGTTTAGAAAATGCGTGCTTAATAAATTAGCTGACAAAACTGTTTTTGGCAAGATTCCTGCGAGCGACATTGTATCCAATTGCCGCATGTTGAACACATTTTTTTTTTTTCATCCCTGAGATATACATGGCACTAAGTGCTCTCGATTGCGCAGTTTGGTCCAAAAGTACACTGTAAAAATTTGATAAGCGAACACACTGGAATGACATGGTTTTCTCAGCAACAGAAAGAAATGCAGGACATCTCAATGTATGGCCATTTTTATTTGCCTAACGAGTTCAAATTTCTCACCGACAGGCAGTGCTTCAGTTTCACAGCAACACTGGTGCTAGCCTGAATATTATCAGCATCTATTTAGAAATGGGGCAATGGCTGATGAAGCAAGAGTTGTTATTAATACATTTATTCTACTGACTGCAGTCATGTGTTACTAGTACTTTAGATATATGGTTTAGGCTAACAATCAATTCTCCTTGAAAAAAATACTGGTCACTTTGATAAAGTGATGTCTCTTGATACTCGGTGTTCCTTAGTTTTATGCCACCAAATAATGAAACTTTCCTCATATTTCCCAATAGAAGTTCAATCCTAAGGCATGGTACAAGATTGCCATGTTCTCATTTCTCTTTGGATAACAATCTTTATTGGTCATTCGTTTGAGAAGAATGGAGCAGCAACTAACAGGCATTCAGAATTGCTCGCGACAACAGGCCTCATTGCAGCTATTGCTGTGTAGCACATCACATATTCCAGTTTCCTTTTTCACTCAAGCCGCTTCCTATTTCTGTTAATGCAGGATTAAATAAAAGTAAAGAAGAAAGTTTCATGCAGCGTTGACAATGCTTCAAATGACACTCGCTACAGCATGTTTTCATTGAACAGCTGCAAGTGCTTCAATAAATGGGAACTTTTACATCACCCCTATTGTGTCTCATGATCAGTGGAAGCCTGATGATCTTTAATTAATAGTAGTGCTGCGTCCATTTGTTTCATAGTCACATTTTCTCCTTTGATCATGAGTTAATGACTGCCTGCCGAGTGAATTACAATGCATCCATTCATTACACCATCTACTATTTGAAAGCCCTTACCAATAAAAGTAACACATAAGTTTCCCTTTCATGTGCCCACCAGAAAAAGTGTCTTTTGACCGGAGCAATAATCAATCGGTCTGTGCTAGATGATAGTCTTAACATATGTTTTTAGCTAAGTCATGATACAAAACACCACATGTTTCTCAGCAGTTTTACTGATTTGCACAAGAAACTCAGGCATAACAGACAGACAAAAACATTAAAATTATTTTCAGCCTCAAATCACACAATCTAGAACATCATACAGTATACAAAAAAGTTCATAACATTTTAATTTTGCTTGACCTGATGATCCGAACACTATAGTCAAAGCTTGTGATCATCTTGTTCCCAATGTCTTAATGGCTGCCCCCAAATTGAAAGACAAGTTGTTGAATAATAACAATAATATCTGGGATTTTGTGTGCCAAAACCATAATATAGTTATGAGAGATGCCCCCGTGAAGGGCTTTTGAAATTACGACCACGTGTTATTGTTTAACGTGCACTGACATTGCACAGGCCTCTACAACTTCGTCTCATTGAAATGTGATTGCCGGGATAGAAGAAAAGCCTTTGGAATGAGACTAATTTTATTTGAAGGCAGCCTTTCTTCCACTGATTTTTTGCAAGCGTAAGCTGCCTCACTATGCACAAAAAAGTTTAAAATGATAGCTGATAACACGTCAAATTTAATATTCTTGGATTTCATGTAAACAAAGGCCACTAATTAAACTTTCATTATATCCATAAATTTCCATGTATCCTCTTTTAGAATCATAGGCATTAACAATAAATCTCAAAATTGCATTCGTGATCCCTCTTTTGGACTGTACTCACCGTCGGTATGAACTCCGACAACTAGGTAGTCGCCCATCGCCTTGGCCTGCAAGAAAAAAAAAAGAAAAAAATGTGGTCTGACACACTGCAGAAGGGTCAAAGCCTTAAGTCATGCCCTGTCAGGCAAGCCTTATCTCAAGTGTTGACCCCAAAACAAGTGCCACGCGCACCCACTTTACGACCCCCCCCCCCCCCCCCCCCAAGCCTTGCCTTCTTAAGATAGCTTAGATGAATGGCAAAGCCGGATCCAGTAGGTGTTGGTGCGAGCTTATGAAACCAAAACAGCTGAGTGGTGCACACTTACTCCTGTGGTCCCCCTTTCAATATTTGCGGAGGGTAACAACTAGACACAAGATTATGGGATGTCACGTGCCCACCAGTTGGACCATGTCCAAATGCTTAACTCGCGGTGGAAACTGACAGATCTTGTTTTTACGCTTAATCAATGGAGTGTGCCATACCATGAAGGACTGCTCGGTCATTTGCGAGATTACAACGTATCTTAAAGAAACACGTGCCTTTTGGATCATGTCCAAGTTCTTGAATTGCAAAAGAGACTAGTTTTTATTCCTGACCTGTGGATTGTATTAGGAACTGGAGGGCTGCCTGCTCATTTATGGCCTAATTAACAAGCTGCATTGAAGAATGAGCACAAAGGACAAGCATTGGGTTTATTAAGCTATGGTAGCACAAGCTTAACAGCTTCCTATTTATACTCATTCATCACGTCAGTTCTTACTGTCGTTTGGGTGAAACGATGGACTCAAGGCCCTGTAATTTACAGTAAGGCCAAAGACAAGAACAGTCAGTGTGAGCTAAAAGGAACATTAGAGAAGGAGGACACAGACACAAAAGATGAAGTTTGGCATGGCAATTTTGGCAATACTTTACGGAAGGAAGACACAGAAACAAGAGATGAAGTTTGGCATGGCAATTTTGGGAATACTTTACGGAAGGAAGACACAGAAACAAGAGATGAAGTTTGGCATGGCAATTTTGGGAATACTTTACGGAAGGAAGACACAGAAACAAGAGATGAAGTTTGGCATGGCAATTTTGGGAATACTTTATAGAAGGAGAACACAGACACAAAAGATAAAGAGTTTGGCACGCAATTTTGGGAATACTTTAGAGAAGGAGAACACAGACACAAAAGATGAAGTTTGGCATGGAAATTTGGGGAATACTTTAGAGAAGGAGGACACAGACACAAAAGATAAAGTTTTGCATGGCAATTTTGGGAATACTTTGGGGTATGCATTTACACTTGTTTGCTATAAAACAAAGAATGAATATTATTTGGTAGCATATGAATGATAGTGAATGAATCGTTTCCTTAACAAAATGTGTCTTCGGTGGAATTTTCCAGTGTTTACATTGCCACACAATTTCACTTAATAAATCATGAGAACCAAGATAGGGTCTAAATATAAAAATACACCTCAAGGTTGTTAAGCACTTTGGGTAGGCGAACATATCAGTTATGTCATTGTCCCCACTTCAAAAGATTCTTACAGAACTACGTACTGACACAAACGAGGCAAATCATTGCCATGTAGTGAGTTTGAAGTTACTGTTTCAACTAAAGAACACAACAGGAAACTGTCTGAAGCATCAATTGAAAAGTTTAAAACAAGTATACATATCTACCTCTCACTTTAACTGCTGCATGTGTGGCACTATAGATGGGTATTCTTGAAGCACCGCAGGTGTGATTCTAAGCATGTGCACCACACAAAAATACACTTGTTTGCTATAAAACAAAGAATGGCATATTATTGGAGCAATGATAGTGAATGAATCTGTTTCCTTAACAAAATGTGTCTTCGGTGGAATTTTCAGTGTTTTACATTGACAACACTTTCACTTCATAAAATCATGAGAACCAAGATAGGTCTAAATAAAAATACACTCAAGGTGTTAATGCACTTTGGGTAGCGACAATATCAGTATCATTTTCCCCACTTCAAAGATTCTTACTATAAATACGTACTGAAAACAATGTTGTGTAATAGACAGACGACAAACGAGGCAAATCATTGCCATGTAGTGAGTTTGAAGTTACTGTTTCAACTAAAGAACACAACAGGAAACTGTCTGAAGCATCAATTGAAAAGTTTAAAACAAGTATACATAGTCTACCTCTCACTTTAACTGCTGCATGTGTGGGCACTATAGATGGGTATTCTTGAAGCACCGCAGGTGTGATTCTAAGCATGTGCAACCACACAAAAATGCGTGCTTTATTCCATATACATTTATTTAAAACAATGCCTCAAAACAGATGCCCCTGTGTTGCGGTGGTTACTATGCTTGGGCCTCTGTACTGAACAATTCCGCTTCTGTGCCGGCTGCTGTGATGGCCATATTTCTATGTAGGCAAAACGGTTGTGCCATTCGGGGCACATTAAAAAGCCCCGGGTGGTCGAAATTATTTGGGGACCCCTCCACAATGGTATCTCTCATTACCCGAGTGGCCTCGAGATTTTAAATTTCATAAAGCAGAGAACCATCAATGCCTGAATGTACCAAGGTTAAAGGGAGAGAGAAAAAGAAACTCTTCATTTGAACCAGAAAGCTTGCGTGTCACATCCATTATGCATGATAATATAACTGCATTTGTTTTCACAGTATGATGTTTCCTCTCGCAGCTTCAACAAGCCTGCGAATGTGAAGCCTGGCAACAGTTAAGGCAACATTGTCAAACTCGCCAACAAGAAATTAAGAAAACATGCGCAACTAACAGTCGAGTAACACTTCGGGAACGATAGTATCACCTTGTAATTCATTCGCTGAATGAGCCAAGTGGAAAACGTATGTGTGAAGTTTTGTCGTCAAGCTTACTGTAGAATAATTCAACAGTGTGAAGTTTTGTCGTCAAGCTGTAAAATAATTCAACAGCTTCACTTTCCTTCTTCAAATGTTTGCTGGCTGTCTGCATTCAGAGATGAAAGCTTCGTTTAATAACGTCTTTTTCTGGGAGGCTTTGGAGGTGCATTTGTGAACACTTTTTCGTTCTCTCTAAATCACTGGTTAGATGGCAACACCACTCCTTCAAGCAAATCCTCAAGCTTTACTGCCTCCCTCAATGAGGAAAATTTTTGGCACACGCACGTGTTATTACGAAGACCAGCACTGAAAAGTGTGGCGAAACTTGAGCAACGAATTACGAGCAGACATCCTTGAAACGCAGCTCTGTTTACGCACTAATCTTGCGCCAGAACTTGCACTACCCCGCACGTGTCATATCTCTGCAGCCCTTAGTTAAACAGGTGCTGGCAGGATTCCAACAATCCTACCCACACATTCCTGAACCATAAGCAGGTAAGCATAACAAGCGGAGCTAGTTGATTTGGTTTGTGCAAATGCGTTTTTCTAGAAGTATTCTAAATACAGATGGGGACAGTTGACAGCCAGTACAATGACACCAGATGTAAAGCAAGTGCACGTGTCCCCAAATTACGTATGTTCCATTGTTCTCCACACATTTCAAGTGGTGAGGCTTGTGATCCCGTTGCTGCCGGTGAGTTTCGAGGGATGCCACAGTCAAAGAATCCAGGTTAATTCTGACCACCTGGCATTAATGTGTGCACTTAGATCCATTTATACAAGCGTTCTTATATACAGTTCTTATCGGAATGTGAGTGCTACAACTAGAAGGTGAGATCCCTGCCCAGTGCACATTAGTGTTCCATACATTTCTGGAGAATGTTAAAAACTAAAATTCTAGGCAGCTCAATCATCCTGTCATCACACTATTTTATTTTAGACTTTTGAAACATCAAATATTTCATGAAATTTCGACTACAGGGATGAGGATTCAACATATTTAAGGTAATTACGCTAAATAAATGGGTCAACATGTTGCAATATGTCTGTCTACTCACACACAACATGCACACAGTTTAGCTCAGCCATGCAACAGACCACGTGTCTAGCTGAGGAAGGAGTCTACTTGCGATGTATTGAATTACATGAAAAGTTATTGTCTGAGTCATCATGGCCATGATAATACCCAGTCCCACTAGACTAATTGAAGAGGCCCAAGAATTCCAGGTCTCTAAAATATACAAAATAAGAGAAATCGTTCGAGCAGCTTGCTCTTTGTTAAACACCACCATATGAATTCAACAGACAAGCCAAATAACGTAAGGAACGCAATTTAGAAGCATTGACATTCGTCAATGCTTCTAAATTACATACAATCCAGCATGCACTGTTGACTACGTTACAATGAAAGAGTAAGATCGTCAAAGTGTGCAAAAGTAGGTTTATCTCAGTATTCTCCATTGTATGCAGAGTAAACATGTGCTCACAAGTGACGACATTACCATTAAAGACAAGTATGAAAAATGGATCATGCTCATTCCCTCACTCCCTTTTGTCTAGGCACTATCACATGAAGGCAACAGATAATGAAGTAAAAAAAAAAGCATGCAAGGGTGTTGCAGTTTTTCAAACGAGCTCAAGTGATTATGAAATAACAAAAAATAAATTAAAAAACAAGAAAAAAAAACTAAATGTCTTTTTTTCTTAACTGAATATTTTGTACCCTAATTTAAGAAAATCCTACGTTGTTACAAGGATGCGCAGACGTGGGGGGCCCACTTTACTTATGTACTCGCAAATACTACTCAATTTTTTCACTGAACCCGCAACCAGTTTTTGGCTATACGTCCAACTGGTTTTAGTAGTCCTGCATGTTATATGCCAGCAAATAAAGAAACTGATTCAAACATGCTGTCAATAAAGATCAAACTCATGAACCTTGCCTTGTGCACAAGTACCGCACACCAACTAGTTGTACACATAACAGAAAATAAGTAGCCAATCACAATTACTTCCTATAAAATGTAATTGATTACAGTGATCCAATAAAGCCCCAGAAAAGTAACCCACCAATTACAGAAATGTAAGTGATTACTTTTGAGTTACTTTTTATCAAAATTTTGGCAGAGTCACAGAATAACCAAAGTTTACTAAAGATATAGTACAACGAACCACTGAGGCTTGCTTAGTAAAGGAAGACTAGGATGTTTACTACAGCCCGTGTGATGTAGATGCACCTTGTAAAGTTTCAACAAGAGTTGTTTTTCAAAGTTGGTCAACCACTTTTTCTCATTAAGAGGTCAGCTGCTACACTTAACACCTTTAGTTCATGTACCAAGAATGGTATTTTTTTCTGTTCATTTCCTTTATTCAGGAATTACCCCACATCGCCCTTGGATGTCACAGCAGAAGGGGGGGGGGGGGGGATTATATTAGGGATACAGATCGTCTTCAATATCACAACATACTTATTTTTCAGAAAACTTATTTCATTCTCCTACACACTTAAGAAAAAAAGAATCAGCGGATATGTAGTCCTGGGCTGGTATTCACTTATCTTCGAGTTTGTGATCTTGACGTTTAGAAATATAAAAGGTGTCATTAAGTAAGTACCCTTAATTATGCTTACCTTGATGTCATACATTAAAAAAAAAGCAGTCTCAGCTTTAACTTCCATAAGCACGAAAACAACTCCCAATTCGATTCTCGTTTCATCACTGCGACACTGTCTGTTCTACGGTGCCTGCCCAGAACGTACCTGGCCGCTATGTTTTGAATACTTTCTATCCGAAAAAGGATTAGCATATAAAAACCACCATTATAACGTATTATACAAATTCTATGGTAGTATTATAAGGAATTTTATTATATGACAATATTATAACGTAGAAACACCTTGCACACCAGTTTGTAGCTGCACATTTCTTTCATGCTAGGATCCATGTCCTCTATGAAGCATCACTTTTCGCTGTTGCTGGCGCTCGGTTAGGGCATCGCAGGTAAGGCCATGGAAAATGTGAAATATGCATTGTAGGGAGCACCCCGAACATGGGGTCGCTACAGAAAGGTCGCACGTTTTTTGGGACGAGAACAGTCATATAAGGCTGGTTACAACTTCATTATGCAAAAAAAGTAACAGACTACCATTAATAAATGATGAGAAAGTGTAATGGAATCACTTAGAATGAATGTTACTTTCAAAAGTGTAATGGGTTATATTATGAAAAATGCAAGCGAATACAAGCACTAAATTGCTTGTAACTTGAGACATACACTCGGACAATTACACAACGTAGCTTTTCTGTCAACAGCATGTTGGCACACATGAAAGACACCAATTAGCTTTGTCCATAGAGTTTCTTAAAATTACATAGATGGGACTCTGGTGCTGCCATCGTTCAGCCACCATGGAAATAATGGGTAGTGCACGAATTTGCCTAGTCTTCGTGCTTGCAGGCTTCGAACGCACTTGTGCCTTTGTTTATTGCTGTCGTCTGGTTTCCTTGCGAATAAAAGAATGAACCGTTCTGAACTTTGTGACCTGATTTGAATCAGTGTGCATAAATAGGTCAAGGTAGTGAAGTGCAACTGCGAAACACTCGCCGATTTCCACCTCGTGACGGAGTGGCTCTAGGCTACGCAAAGACAAATGGAGTGAAAAGAACGAAAAGTAGACAAATCTGTGAACTTCCCATCATTCTCGGCCTGAAGTGCCGTACGCCGCAGCCACCATAGACTCTAGCGCCAAAGTTCCTTATACGTAGCGTATATACAGGAAAAGTCTGTGGTTTTGTGTACCCGTCTGTGCTAATTTATGTACGGCCGAGAAATAAATACTCACCTGTCTAAGCTGATTGGCATGACCGAAGTGCACCATGTCGTAGCTGTGGGAGAGAGGAAAAAAAAACAAGAGACAGGTGTTTGTCAGGCCCTCCAGTGCAGCTGGGTCATTGTCAATGCATCAGTGCCTGCCTTATAGCATCTCTATTGTGTTTCCTCGAGCGTTGTAAGGTTCCTACGCCATTGAGTCGTTTCTGTCTGATCTCGTTATTCAGCTTTTCATGGTTGACTGCAAACGGCAGTAGCTACTTGAAAAAGGGATATAGGGCTTCTGAAGAGTGGCTTGTTGGGAGAGTTGATTCAGCGTCAATGTAGAATTTAGCGCAAAAAAAAAAAAAAACACACGAACAAAGTACAAACTATCAACTGAGCTTTATTGAAAAACATTCACATATAAGTAGCTCGAGTGATTATGAGTTAACAAAAAATATATTGAAGTGCACAAAAACATCAATGTTTTTTTTTGCTTATTTGTATCTTTTGTACCCTACTTTAAGAAACAAGGATGCGCAGATGTGAGAATATTCACATGGTGAGAATACAAACACAAACAATACGAACGGGTTTATGTGGTTTTTTTCTTCACTCCAGTTTTTTTAGCCAAATTCTTAGTGGCAAAGGATTTTGATTAAACGTGCAATCTTCTCAGCAAAAAAAAAAAAAAAAAATGTCGCGTGGTGGCCTGTTGTGTGTATCCTGTACCGTTTTGAAGCTATTCTGGATTTCGTCCGAAAGAGAAAATAAATCATTATACGAATACGTGAAATCTAAAAGTTTTAATATTCTCTCTTTTTCTGACGACGAAAGAAACGCCACATTTTTTTTAATTGTGTCTACGTTTGCGCCCATCTATAATGTGTATCAAAACCGAATCGGCCGGGAATCCCTTGACCCATATATAAATCCAAGGCTGCAGTTTCGGCGGGCAGCTTTATCGCGAAACCGCCGATCGTACGTGCGGCGCGCCGTATCAACGAAATACCCCCGGAGTAAATCGGTCGATCTGCCCACACACCCATTCATAAAACACCTCATGCAGGGCTAAACTGAACGCTGTTGTAGCGTCGGGCGGCAATGCATACACCTCGCGTTATTATACCATCCTGCACAACTGAAACCAACGTACCTCGCTAATAAATTCGCGCACCGTAGAGCGTCGTCATCGGAAAAAGTGTTTGGCCCGCGTATCAGCGTGGCTACGATGCTTTGACGTTATCAGCGGGGACAAGCTACACACAGAGTTTCATACAATAAGTGCACACACACTTAGATGGCCCCAGATCGCACTTTCGGAAGCGCGCCGAAAGCAGTTTCTCTCCAATGAACTTACCTGAAGCTTTCTTGAAATAGCGCTGCTAATTAGATCTACTCTGCGTATCATCGAATAGCGGGCGCTCGATTTATTACGCGATGTGAAACGAACTCGATCGACTACGTCCAAGTGCATGCGCGATATAGAGAGCGTAGGACCACGCCTCCGTGTGCGTGCTTTAGCACCGAACATTTCGTCCGAAAGCGCGAAATGCCGGCGCGGAGTCTCTTTTACAGCACGCCTACTCGTAGCGCGGTGTACTACGGCCACAACTCACCATCCATCGCACCACACTCGGACGATGCCGTCGTTTCCGGCAGGTTCTCCGCTCATTGTCGATTCCGATCGCGAGCTGGCTCCCGGTCCCCACAAACGCCAACAACTACGCGCACGACGTTCCACCTGAGCCCGTATCGGCGTACGCGGCCGCCGCGTTGACGCAATTCGCGAAACTACGTCAGCGACATTTGCCAGCAGCGGCGCCCTTGAGCACGACAATTTTTTCCCTTCTAAATGCAAAAGCAATCAACCAATCAACGACCTCAGTTGCCTTGGTTTTGGAAACTAAAGCTGGTTTCGCTTTCGTATCCGATGCATAAACTTTACGTAGTGTTCCTGAACTTGAGAATTTGTACGTCCTGTTTTAATCATGTATTAGCAAGTAGGACGAGGAATTAGAAAGGAATTAAAAAGCACTTGCCTTGTCCATCGCCTTGTCTTACCAAAGTCGGCCCCACAATGCTCAGTTTGCTATTACAACAACTTTGCATTTAATTTTACAATAATTAGCTTTTATTAAGTAAATACCGACTAGTCAACGTCCAAAGCGTTGGATTTATTTACAAAATAGTGCTTTCGTTCTTTGCCTGAGGAGTTCTAGGAAAATCTAGATTTCAGAACAGGGGGCGATGCGAGCGCTCGCACTGGCCAATATGGCGGCGTCCACCATCTCGTTCGATTTGTGAGGGTCGGCCGCGACGTGTTTCGGCACAGTTTTCCGCGGACGTTGATTGCCGACGGCGCCCGTCCTGTCACCGCGGCTGTCGACGCTCCACCGCACCGGCTGACGGCGGCGCCAAAAATTCTGCGAAAGGTTCGCCGCGCGGTCCAGACTCAACATGGGTATCCTCGAAAAGATCAGCGAGATCGAGAGAGAAATCTCTCGGACGCAGAAAAACAAAGGTTCGTGCGCCTCGAGTCTGGCGGCTCGCTTTTTTCCCGAAGGCCGTTGTCGCAAATTCTCGGCTGTTGTTAAGGCCGATGTCAGAATAAAACGAAGGTGCATGTGTCACGAAAGCGACGCTTGTCGGGCAGCTGTCGTCGCGCTGGGCTGAATGTGTCGACGCGTTCGTAGGGTTTAGTAAGTTGAGACGGTCGTCGCAGTTTCGAAAAGAGTAAGCTTTTCAAAGCCTGTCAAAATGGTTTGTACTAAGTTTAAACGTAATTTTTGTGCCTGCGCTAGAGGGTACAGGAAAAGGGGCAAAATTGGGTTCCCATCTCGCGGAGCTTACAGGAAAACGGGAAAATTATGTGCCTGTCCCACGCTGATCATCAGTTTCGCTGATCATAAAGCTTAACTGGGGTCTGAATTTCCGGTAGGTTATTGGTCTTCTAGTTTGCCTTCTTCACTTCTTTTAACCAAAACTTCGAGCTGTTATGAACGCATGGACTGATTACTGGTGTCAGGGGGATCTGTTATTGTACTGTTAGCTAATTGTCGAGATTTTATTGTGTAACAGCTGATTCGCCCAAACGCTTTCGGCTCACTTTGTAAAATACGCGCGTGTCATTAAACATTCGGAGATCGTTTGCTACTACTGATGGTTGTGAGAACATAAAGTGATGTACTAGATTGAGCCATGCACTTAGTGACCACACACTTCTGACACTGTGGACGCTTGTGTCGTACTGTGCACAGCTACGGAATACCACTTGGGACTGCTCAAGGCCAAGCTAGCTAAGTACAGGACCCAGCTTCTGGAGCCGCAGGGCAAATCGAAGGAGAAGGTATGTTTGTCGTGAATGCCCGAAACTTGGTGCTGTCCTTTGGGAGTGTGTCGGCAGCAGGCTACTTTAGCTTGAACCATGGCTTCCAGAGACAACATACTTTTGTGCATTCGTTCTGATTAGACGTTATTGTCTCTCTGTTAAGTTTGCTGCAATGTTTTTCTTGATTGTAGAAACCAGTGACCGATGACATTGGGCAAGTCAGTCAAAAAATGCTCCTATAGTGGCAGTACAGTGCCTGCTTGCCTGACAGGTGACTTTAGTTGCAATCATTTCTTATCCTTGGGTGTACGGATGAAAATTGATTATTGTGAGTGCAGTCAGCCATGGCTTTTCACTTCCTTGACTTTCACTTCCAAACTAACCGTGCAAACAAAAACAAATGTATTAGAAATTGGCCACGAAGTCTGCTGCCATGATAGCTTGAATGTGAGCTCACTTTGAAATCGTGAACATGACTTGTTATCTATGCTTCTTCCCACAAAGTTATGCACTGTTCTGTGCCACGCAATGTTACCTTACTATATAGACAGCTAATAAGACATATACACCTTCCGTGTAGCAATCTAGTTGAAGCTGTGTTGTGTGAAAAATTTCACAGACTGTAGGTCAGAGCACTTGTATTTTCAAGATGGCCTTTCTGAGTTAAGCACTTTGTCGGCCTTGCTAATGCTGAGCACATATATGTGTCATTTCAGGGAGAAGGCTTCGATGTAATGAAATCGGGTGATGCGCGTGTCGCGCTCATCGGCTTTCCATCGGTTGGCAAGGTAAGGCCATCCTATTTCCTGCTACTTGAATTCTACTAACCAAGCTGTAATACATATAACATCAAAATAGCCTGCGGCTATCTGTTTGATGCATGGAATAAGGCTGGAATTCACTATAATATTGTCGGTTATTTCACAAACTCTTGTGATGGCTATAAACGTTTTTTTTTTTTTTTTGCATTTCTTTCTTCTGTGACATTCACTGCAATGACTGGGGCCTGGTTTGATTTAGAACAAAAAATAAAGATAGATTTTTTTTAATGGGAATTCTGCAAGCAGCACAACATAAAAGTGTGGATCTTCCATTCAGTGCAACGCCTGTTTCATTTACATGCACTAAACGTAGTTTTAATGATAGTTGGACCAATAATTGTCCTACATGGCTGCCCGTTTCAGGTCTGATATAAAAATACATGTTCACCTTTGAGATGCAAAATACAATGGCACATCACAGTAAACACAGATTGCAAACGATACAAGCAATATTGGTGTGCCATGCAATTTCAACGTTACAGTGACAACAAAAGTGTGCAAAATATGCTACGGTAGCGCTGCCTGCTTTCTTCACTGCTTAACTCTACAAAACAGTTGGACAACACTTCTCACTATCCAGGACAGTCTGTACACATTGCACAACTCATAGTTACAGCTAGAGCTTGTTCAGTTAGGTGTTAAAGGGTTGAAGTCATTCATGCTTATGTCTGTCTGTATGCTCATTCCAATTTCATTGGTGCCTGACCAACATTAAGACATTCACTTTCTGTTTCAGTCCACTCTGCTCAACATTATGACCGACACCCATAGTGAGTCGGCGTCGTATGAGTTCACGACACTCACCTGTATCCCTGGTGTCATTGAGGTGAGATCACTCAACACTGTGTGCATTTTGGTATTCACTGTATATCTCGCAATGTTGCTCTGTTGAAGGTGGGAGGGAAAAAGCAGAACTAAGCTAGTTCTGCCGTTCCATATACTTGAAGACAGAAATTGCATGCTCAACTGTGTCATTGAATGGCACTAAGCTTGTCAGAATTAAACTTCACTTTCAGTAAGTTCTTACAGAGACTTGAAACTTTAGAATAGAAAGTTGGAGTGTTACATCATACATATAACAAATGTTCACCGCGTATTAAGGCTCCTTTTTATTTCAAGAGAAAATTGCACCAAATCATGCTGTATGCTTCTATGACGTACTTAAAGCATGACTGGGAATAGCGTGGGAAATTTAATCTTATAAAAACGGGACATCAGTGGGAGTCCTACTGCCATATTTCTCGGGAAAGAAAAGAGAAAGGCACCGTTACAAGTTCTTTGCACACACCCCCGTTACGACAACATTTGCTACAGGGGCTCTGCCACACTTTTTGAGCATGGTCAGAAAACACTGCCACTTGATATTAACACTCGAGCCTCATTATAACAAACTTGCATCTTATATGAAAATAAGTTTGTTATATCCGAAAATTTGTTATAAATATTTATTCTTAACACTAAATCTATTGCGAGACTATTTTTCATTTACTTCGTTATAACCAATATTTTGTTATATTCGGATTCATTATATCGAGGTTTGAGTGTAGAGGCTTTAGAAAACACGTGAACCAAATATTACAGTGCTGCATATGGTTTGGAGTCGACCATTAATTCTTTAAGCCGGCGAGAAATCACTCCCTCTTCTCTCTACAAATGATGCGACATACCAAAATTTCCATGCTGTATACTCAAGAGCGCTACCATTGGCTAATTTGAGCAGCGTGCACTTCGTAGTTAGCCCCGCCACGGTGGTCTAGTGGCTAAGGTACTCGGCTGCTGACCCACAGGTCGCGGGATCGAATCCCGGCTGTGGCGGCTGCATTTTCGATAAAGGCGGAAATGTTGTAGGCCCGTGTATTCAGATTTGGGTGCACGTTAAAGAACCCCAGGTGGTCAAAATTTTTCGAGCCCTCCACTATGGCGTCTGTCATAATCAAATAGTGGTTTTGGGACGTTAAACCCCACAAATTAATCAATCACTTCGTAGTTACTGTGGCTGCCACGGGATGCCGCCACGTGTGCCCGTGCGTGGGCTTGCTATAACTCGGGAAGTAAGCACAATCGGAAAAAAAAAAGCAGTAAAAGTGCTCAAGGTTGTGATGCATGCTGAAGAAGGAATGCATCTTCTTGCTCCGTATGCATCCCTGCGTACCAGTGTGCTCGCTAGTATGAAAAGAGAGGCATCCGAAGCATGCGACAAACCCCCACAACTACGTTCCTACTTGACGTAGTCTAAATTTTTCGGCACGTCGTTTGTGAAGCGTCACGTGTTAATAGTGAGACTGTACTATTATAATGCAGGAAAGTTGATGATATGAGGAGTTTAACGTCTCAGAATCGCCACATGATTATGAGGGATGCCGTAGTGGAGGGCTCCGGAAGTTTCGACCACCTGGGGTTGTTTAACGTGCACCCAAATTTGAGCACATGAGCCTACAGCATTTCCACCTCTATCGGAAATGCAGCCACCGCAGCCGGGATTCGATTCGGTGACCTGTGAGTCAACAGCCGAGTACCTTAGCCACTAGACCACAGTGGCAGGGCAACGCAGGAAAGTGTTGCAGGGCTTCCCTAACCTCTTCAGACCCGTGTGTATTTGTTCTTTGCTGGTTTTGGAAATTCGCACTACTATTGGAGCCAATATTTCGATGGCATCGCATTCTCGATCATGTGGTGTCATCTTGTGAGCATTTGAGGATGCAGACTACTGTGGAAGCTGTTTTTGTTTTATTTTGAAAACACAGCTGTATTCTCATCTTCAACGTTCTTGTGACGGTGTTCAATGAAGTAGCAAATTACTACGTTATCATGCAGTCATATTTTTAATGGTTGTACAAGTCTACTTAGGGAGGCTTTAAGAATTATTTTACTACAGCATGTAACCTTCGAAGCAGGTGTTTTCGTTATCACAGGCCGTTTTCTACAAATGTGCATCTTTGTGCACACTAGGTCTCAATACGTGCTTTTGTGTACGCATGTTAGCCAGTGTTACGCGGTTGGTATTAAGTTCTTTGGCATTAAAATTTGCCGTTTGTTTAATCTCGGGATCTTTAACGAAAAGGTGTGTCATTTTTCCGACACAATAACCTGCAATAACCCCTGAGACCTCTAGTTGTGTGATGACGAGACTGTTTTTTGCCCATTACCTCGTAATGAAAAACAAGTGTGGTGCGAAATTTGACCTTGAGCGACCACGAAAGCTATTGAAAGCCAAGGGGCCTCCTGAACTAAGAACTGCGTGAGCAATCGCATGCCGTAGCTAGTTAACCAGGTTTTTTTTTTTTCGCAATTCCGGATCTCTGGACGTCCTCAGAGAACAAAGTTACGGTGCAGCATCTTCCTACGCATCACATCTGCATGAAACTGCTGCAAACAGTTCCATATTAAACGAGGGTGCTTTCTGGGAGCAAATGTAAAATTTTGTTATGGGCAAGTATTACGAGTTTCCCGTGCATTATGATCCAATATGAATTAGAATGCAGAAACTGGTGTGCAAAAGCTGTTTGCTGTAAAGGCGCAAATGTATTTTTTGTGCAATACTGTTTGTGTGTGCATAACGAAAATGTGTTTTTATTTCACCTGTGTGGTCACAAATTGACTGAAATTGTCTGAGGAGTTTAATGTGATGTCACACTGTAAGAGAATGCACATAAAACTAAGCTGGGGACATGTCAGCTGTTTTGGCCAGCCAGGCTTCTAGATGCTGCGCAGACACAGAAATACATCAAAATACTTAAGAGCAGCACGCGTGTATGGGAAATGCTGCTGTACCAGAGTCACCAGTCCAGAGTTGGGCCTGTCTCTTTCGCTGAGCAGCTTTTAGAGTTTTCCGGTTGCCGTGTTGCATTTTTTGGGGGGCTTATTCACGTTTTTTCTGCAAATGATATTCAGTGCCTGTCAAATTCACTAACAGCGTGTTGGTTGATGACATGTGATGGAGTACTCAAGTCAAACTTACCTGGGGGGGTCAATGAGCGACATTATTCAGATACTGGTAAATGTGCACGGACCGCGGACGCAGTGGTGACCCCCCGGGGGGATCTTGTTAAAAAGTAAATATATAGCGTGTTCTTCTTCATTGTTTTATATTCTTTCACTTCACAGAACAGTTAAAGTTCTTAACCCGACCCATCAGACATGACTGGTATTTTTGTTGTAAATATTTTCACAAATGAGAAAATTTACTAAACTTCCAGTTCTCTTAGGCTCCTCCGAAAAAGCCACACCACTTTTTCTTGGGCTTCTTTTGAGGTGATATGCTTGTTAGCTCAGTGACATCTGGCAATTCTGTGAATCCTTAAGACCTTCACACTCTCAGCACCTCCGCATTTTCTAAGTTAATCTGAACGTGGAGGAGTTTCTTGCAGCTGGTGTGTTCATTTTATATGCTATATTTTATCATTAAACTTAATTGTACATTTGCAAATATTCTCCATTCTCCCTCCCTTCTATGTCTTGTAAAAGCTTCCCGTCCTGGGCAATTTCATGGTTTTTCACGCGATGCATTCATCTTGCTCTCAGCCTTCCTTGTGCACACATGCATCTCCGACCTGACACACAATATACACAACATCTCTTGCAGTACAAAGGTGCCAACATTCAGCTTCTCGATCTGCCTGGTATCATCGAAGGTGCCTCTCAAGGTACGGTCTTCCTTCCTTGCCGACTCGTGGCATTGTGTGTTGTTGTCAATTTTTTTTGTGTTGCTGTCCGTCTTTATCTGCTGTGCCCTCTCAATTATGGGCACAGCCACCATTACCATAAAGCCTTCTATGAGGCAGTGAAAAGCCACCTTTTATTGTGGAACCATGGCAGATTGGGCAAAGCATCGACTCCTAACTGCATCTACATTCGTAGTGGTGGGCAATGTTTTGTTTGTCCTCTTCGTGTGGTGAGGGTCAATATGATATCTTATTAGGTGGACCGACAATGCCATGTTTTAACATGTGTGTTATAAAAGTGTATTTTTTTAGCTGGTGTCACGCTAAAAGAATGCCTTCTGAATGCCGCGTTGGTGTCGATAGTTCAGTGTTAGCAGGTTAGTTTAGCACCATTTCACATGGCAATGAAATATGTGCACTTGTCATTTAAAACCAGTGGATGGCACCACACTTGAAAACATTTTAATTTTTTACTGAGCATAAGTTTATGTGTATTTGTGTGCTGATTTCAAACGTGTAATTGATTGATTGATTGCTTTATTTGCTTCGTCACAGTACAGTGTAACAGGAGGCGGAGGGAAAAGCCGTAATGACGGCTTGAGGGATCCTCCGCCCCCTTTGTGAACAATGGCAGCAGATGAAGGACATCACAATATCATACACTTTCACATTGTTTTACGTAAAGATCATGCCACAAAGGAAGGAAACCTGAAAACGTAGTTGATACATAGCTTACACAACAAAGAAACTTGCAGCAATCTTCTGCACCTGAATAAATACATAGTTTATAGAACGTATAACATAGTTTGCTACATAGTTTATAGAACAAAAAGAGCCGCTAATTCTGCGACACTTAAATGAGACACATCTATACCTTTGCTAATATAAGTATTCAGAATTCGCGGTAGTGTACATCGAAGCATCTGAAAACCATAATTAGTGCGAAAGTACGGAACGTTCCACATTTCTGTATTTCTTGTTACATACGCCTTTTCCTTTAAGCAAAGATTCGCCATTTCCGTAAACAAAAAGTTTGCGCGTTTGCAGCTAAGGCAGTACTCTCGTAGTAGTCTGTATTGATATAGGTCATTCACTTTGATTATCTTATATTTTTTAAACAGTGGGTCACTAGGTGCTAGAGCTGTAGCGTTGTCTATCAGCCTCAGTATTTTCTTCTGTATTCTCAGTAATTTTGTTAAGTTTGTTTCTGTAGTTGTTCCCCAAACCAAATAGCAATAGTTAAGATAAGAACTAAACAGCGATTTGTATATCAATAACTTCACCGAATTGGGGATGAGGTACCGGATACGGCTGAGTATTCCAGTTATCCGGCCTAATTTTATTTGAATATTAGTTACGTGGTCATCCCATTGCAAAGAACTGGAGAAATGTACCCCAAGTACTTTCACTGACTTCACTATTTCTATATCTGAGCCTCTAAATACAATATTATTCTTCAAAGTCACTTGTTGACCTTTCGAATGAAAAACTACCGCTTTTGTTTTAGTTGCATTTATTTTTAACTTATTGTTACTTGTCCAGTTGTCTAACTTCTGTAAGACGTCATTAGCTTTATTAGAAAGAATAACATCTGATGATGAGGTGACAAATATACTCGTGTCATCTGCATAGATAATAAACTTGACTTCTGGGGAGATATGGACTATGTCATTAATATATAAAGTGAATAATAAAGGGCCAAGAATGCTCCCTTGTGGTACCCCTGAAATTATATTTTTCTTATCTGATACTAAATCATTTATCGAAACAAATTGACATCTATGCGCCAGATAGCTTTTAAGTAACATGAGTGGGAGCCCGCGAATTCCATAATGGTTTAATTTTTCAAATAAAATGCCGTGGTGAATGTAGTCAAATGCTTGTGTGAAATCCACAAAAATTCCGACCACTTTATTTTTTTGTTCAAATTGTTGTAGAATATATTCTTTTTGATCCAGTAGGGCGAGTTCTGTAGACTTATGTTTTTGGAAGCCATATTGTGATTTTGTTAGGACATATTTGGTGCAAAAACAGGATAAGCGACTAAAAATAATTTTTTCGAAACCTTTAGAAAATACGGGGAGAATAGATATCGGTCGATAATTTGCAACGTTATGCTTGTTCCCCTTTTTGTAGAGAGCTATTACGCGTGCCGTTTGCATTTTCGAAGGAAAAACCCCTGTCGAAATACAGAGATTGAATATGTGTGTTAGTGCTGGACTGATCTGATCGATAACATATTTCACTGGTTTTATTTGTATGCCATCAGCGTCGCAGCTGCGACTGTTTTTTAAGCAGAGAAATACTGTGCGGACTTCTGGTTCGATAGTACCTGCTAAGAAAAACGTGTTTGCAATTTCTGGACCCAGAGTTCGGCAAGTAGCGGTTGATCTGTCGCTAAAGTCTCTGTAAACGAAGTAATCATTAAAAACATTGACCATAGCCTCTCCACTGACCAAGTTTCCGTCATGGAGTACCTCCTTAATTTCTTCTGTTTTCGGATTTCGGCCCATCAAAGAGTTTATTCTATTCCATAAAACATCTGCTCGTTTTGAACACACAGTAAATGCTTGTATATGATACAGCTCCTTTGATTTCTTCATTTCTTTACTTAAGGCATTTCGGAACTGCTTGAAAGCAATTAGGTCCGCCTCGTCGCGCGTACGTATGAATTTCCGGAATAATCTGTTTTTTCTGTCTATTTTACGTAAGAGTTCACGTGTCATCCAAGGTTTCCGACAACCTTTACGTTTTTTCCGCTGTTTATAAGGGAAGTGTTTTTTGTATATACAAATAAACGATTCTAAAAAAGCGTCATAGGCTGAGTTTGCATCATTTGAGTAAAAAACATTGTCCCAATGCAAAGTGCCAATCTCTAAACGGAAAGCATCTAAAGCAGCTGGCGAGACATGCTGATAACTATAAGAAATGTCATTCTGAATTAACGTAGGTACAGCTGTTTTTACAGAACAACATATCGCCATGTGATCACTAATAGGATACGTAAGGACAGCACAGGTAACACACGACAGATCACAGTTTGTGATAAATAAGTCTATGGTGGTCTCCGAAGACAGACTGATTCTAGTGGATCTATTTATAATGTTTTCGCAACCGTTGCATGCAATAATAGTTTCAAAGTCACACTTTCTCGTGCTTTCATGCCCCATGTCAATATTGAAATCACCACCCAATATAACAGTGTATTGATGTTGATTTACAAATGTTAAGAAAACATCTAAAAATGCAAAAAAATCAGACAAGTCACCATCAGGTGGCCGGTAACACACAGCAACTATGACATCTTGAAACTGAACACATAACATTTCGTAATGAGCAGTAACTGAAGTAAACTTTTCGAGCAATACGGCTGGTAAAGAATTTTCAAGTAGCATAGTGACACCACCTCCTCGACGACTTGGCCGAAAAACAGAGAACGTTTTCATATGAGGTAGTTCAAATTCTTCTGAAATATCCGATTTCCAGGTTTCCGTTAGCATAACAACATCAAAACAACCTTTCATTTGATTAAACAGACACTCGAGTTCATTTACTTTGTTTCCCAATGATTGTACATTTAAATGGAAGCATCGGAGAAAACCTCTTTGTACGTTTCCAAACCGCTTCGCTAACTCACGAAGGGCGATATATCCGAGGTCATCCATTTTACAGAGCAGTAAAAACAAAAAAAAAAAGAGATACCAAGAAACAGCACAAAAAACTAACATCAATTGCTCAACGCTGACAAGTCATCCTCACACCTGATGACCTGCGCACGTTCTCCACTCTTCCTACGCACCAAGACCTTCCCATTGGAATGCCATGCAAAGTCATAGCCAACTCTCCTTATTTATTAGTCATAGCCAACTCTCCTTAATTATTTTTCCTAGTATAGTACGTTACTTTAAAATATATATTCCACGGGCCATTTTGGTAGCTCTTGCTTGCCTAGTCTGATATTGTTACAAAATAAATATACATGTCAGGAATAATGTAAAATAAATATTGCATGCATGAAAACAAGATTGTATGTTCTGAACCCATTTGAACAAAAGCTATGGTATGTTTGAAAACTTGTATGTGAACTCTCACGTTGCCGTAGATTCACTTAAGAATGCTCAGCAGGCTGGATTCGAAAATATGTGTGCATTGCTTAGCCCCTAGTCCTCGTGTTTTCAATTCATAGGCACTGTTCTCACGCATGTCTGTAACGGTGCCTTTGTGTTATTGCGCTGCAGTGGTACATTTTTAGTCACTCACTGTCCTTGAGCACATGCCCTCTTTGCCTGTGGGACTTCTGTTTCTCATTCCAACTACACGTAACGTTGCCCAAGCTCAATCGTAAAGCTTTCTTTGCATAATACCACGTCTGCATTGGCGTTCCTAGCTCATTCGCACCGAAAATGTAAAGAAAGCCACCTCGATGTCACACTCATGCACTCGTACTCCTCTCTGGTGTCTTTTCACGCTGTAGGCAAGGGAAGAGGTCGCCAGGTCATAGCCGTGGCTCGAACTGCCGACCTTGTTGTCATGATGCTGGACGCTGGGAAGAGCGAGGTGCATAGGTAAGCAGCCATTTTAAGGCCACTAGAGTCGATGATAATGTGGGCTGTGTTGACTGAATTCAGTTTTATTGAGTACAACTCTGAGCCCAATTAACCGTCCTGATTAGTAAGATTTTTGCATTACCCAGTTATTGTTTCAGTTACACTTCTGTCTCTTTTTTTGCTCTTTAATTGTGCTGCATACTGTCTTAAGAATCCAGGATGATATTTTTGTTGGCTGTCACCTCTATGAAATCAGTCTTGATGGATGTGAAATTGAGCCTGCCGTGATTTCCAGGAAGCTTTTGGAGCAAGAATTGGAGGCTGTTGGCATCAGGCTAAACAAGCTTCCCCCGAATATTTACTTCAAGGTAAGGCACTGCAGAATGTCACCATAGCATTACGGTAGTATTTCAGCCTAGACAGTATTTAAGTACAAAGTTACGCATGTGGAGATCTTTAAGCCAGTGGCTGCTGTATATGTTATGAGAGGATACAAGATATATATTGCACAGTTCTTCGCAACTTTTATAATGGCACTACTAGTCTGTTGCTGCAAACTTTTTTGCGCATTTCATTATTGGTAGCAGTTTGTTTACAGTGGAAGCCAGCAATGCTTTAAGGGGCACTCTTTTTTAGCAAGCACCAAACAAACATTAGAACCATAGGCCTTGGTTCATTATTGAGATCATGGTACTGATAAATTGTTTTTTTTTTTTTTTTGCTGAATGGAAACGTACGGACAACATTTTTTTTACTCTTAATGGATGAAGAAAGAAAAAGAAAAGCATCACGTGAATTTCACAGAATCATATTTTTAATTGTGTTTTTAATCATACTTCCACTGCTCGTCCCTCACCAAGAGTCCACCCAGCTGTTTGTGTGTTACTGTTTCATAAGCTGAATACATCTTTGTGGCCAGTATTTTTCTGCGGGCTGGGATGTTTTATTATGCATTATAACTGCAGCACTGCCGCTGTTCTTATTTTAAAAATCCTTTGGATGACTTTGCAGTTTCTTGAAAAACTTGTAAACAGGGTGTGATAAACCCAACCTCAAATTTCTTACAAATTTATGGGTGACTGTAATTGTTACGAATTTTCCATCACAACCTTCCGTCTTTCTCCGACTCCTGCCTTCTTTTTTATTGCAATTTCTAGTTATCCCAACCACTGTCCAATTTATTTATTTATTTTCTTATCACTTTATCATCACAGGAAAAGAAAGCAGGAGGCCTGAGTTTCAACTCGACCTGCAACTTGACAAAGTGTGATGAGAAGCTTGTCCAGATGGTTCTTCATGAATACAGTGAGTGACTGGCACGCTTTCCTCAGCAGTAATGGCCGCCGCAAGTGGAATCATTGAGCGTGACATTTCAATAGGTTCATTTCAAACTGTGCTTTCTATACCTTTTGACATCTCTAGCAGGCGTTCTGTATTAGCAGGTTACACCTATAGTATTGCTGCTCAGCAGCTAAGTGGAATTACTGAGGCACATTTCGCACTAATAACGATCACAGAGCCTTGCTCAAGTGTTGTTGTTAAGTTAGGTTCAATATCGGTTAGGGCGACATTCTCACCAAATTGTTGTACTACATGTTACCGGCTGTAAGAATGGCAACCAAAGCACAGCGCAAGCCAACGTTGTTTATTCAGATAAAGCTTGCTCTGCTAATTACTAAGCATGAGTACAAAGATTGGATACCCAGCCCTGATGGCTGCATTTCAGTGTAGGTGAAATGCAAAAATATCTCTCTTCATTGATTTAGGTGCGTGTTAAAAATGACTCACTTGGCTGCCTAATTTGGCGTGCCTGATAGCATGTGATTTTGGCACATCAAACTCTACAATGTAATGTAAACCTCAATTATACAGCAAAAATATGTCCACAGCGCTTGTGCGTGTTCTCTCGTCCTGTCCTCGTCTATTCAGTGCCGCGCTTATCTTTATGAGCGTACTACACCGACAAAGCCAACCAGCCACCCCTGCTATGTCTGCAACTTATACATGTTGTTACGCTGGTTTGCGTCACCAGAAAACTGAGACGCAAAAAGCGGGCAATCGAAGCCAATTTCCCAATGAGGCAAGTGAGGCCAAGTCGGTGCTAAATAAGCCTGATTGAGTAAATTAGTGTTAATTCAACTATCATAATTAAGACAATTAAATTGTGTTTAAACCGAGCCCACCAGACGTAATTGAGCATCTTGAGCCTAATGATGCTCATTAAGCCTAATTGAGATTGAGCCGAGCTGGGACTAGCTAGGAGATTGTCGGCTACATTGTGACTAGGCCTTGCATCTTCACTGTAAGTTGGTGACATTTTTTTTTTCTGGTTTGAAAATCTTTGTTTTGAAGAGGTGTGGTTACTCAACAGAGAGCTGAACGTATGAGACTCAAAAAGTAAGACTTGGAAGTGTGCTACTGTTGTAAACTGTGATTATGAGGCTATAAACGTTCTCTGGTGCAGAGATCTTCAATGCCGAAGTCCTCTTCCGTGAGGACTGTACCCCGGACGAGCTGATTGATGTGATCCTGCGCAACCGTGTCTACCTGCCCTGTCTCTACGTCTATAACAAGATTGACCAGGTCTCCATCGAGGAGGTTGACCGGCTCGCCCGCCAGCCGCACAGCGTTGTTGTCAGGTGAGCTGCACAATGTGTGTGGTATTTGTTTTGTTATGTCAACTTCTCTTGATTCAAGTAGGCTTAACATAGCAGGTTTTTCAGTATTGTCCAATGCCAACATAAATATGTTGGCATTAGATAATAAAGGTATATTTCTTACACTATCTATTACAAGACTATTCTTAATTTAATTCATTATAACTGATATTTTGTCATATCAAGGTTTGAGTATTCTCAAGCCCTAATAGGGGCTGTGCCTTGTAACTGCAATCTTAATTATTAAAGGGAGATAAGGGTCGAAAAACGCGAGTTTTCTTCAAAATTACCGATTTTTTATTTTCGCCTGTTTAGATAAGATTAGTACCTCTACTGTTCTGGAAAAAAAATACACGTGGAAACTTAACTGGAAATGCTTTAAAATTGCGCCTAAAGAGCACAAGGTGCCTGTTAAAAAGCCCAAAGTGTGCAGTCTTCGAGCACCTTGCTGCCGATAATGCGCCGCCTCTCGCATGAGGCGAAGAGTCGAGCCTCACTCTTCAAATAACGACAGTTACTCTCGCTGATACGGCGCAAGAAATAATAAAAAGAAGCATGCTTTTGTGCGTTTTTCGAGTGCCACGACTGGCTTATCACGTGGTACGGATCGGGAACCGCCATTGGCCGCAGCGCGCTTGTATGTGCTGTGAAACCTACTTGCAGGGTTCATGTCTTGTCGAGCAGCGCAGCCGAACAATGCTTTTCTCGTGTATTCATCTCCGTTATGAATGAAAAAAGCCATTGCTCACACGTGAAAGCCGTTTCGGCGCCGCGCTCTGTAGGAATAGGCTACAAATAAAAATTTCCATGAACAGCTCTACGGTGAATATTTAAAAAAAAAGTATTTTCGAGTAGCATCTCCCTTTACGGCAAGAAAAAAAAAATCTTAACTAATTGTTCTCTTCAGTTAGCTTTCATACTAGGCGGGAAAAAAGATAGAAGCTATGTTATTAATATAATTGGCATTTGTATGACTTGCTTTTGTTTGTGCCTGTTTGTGTCCTGCAACTCCCCAACCTGTGCAGTTGCAACATGAAACTAAACCTGGACTACTTCTTGGAGAGGCTGTGGGACTACCTGGCCCTCATTCGGGTCTACACCAAGAAGCGTGGCTGTGAGTATACGTCACCTTTAACCTTTGTCTTGGGTGCAACACTGCATCACCTGTCTGTTTGTCTACTATACATGTGGCATGGAATACTGGCTATATAAGAGGAAAGAAGTGTATATTTAAGGGCTCATTTTCTTTGTTAAACTCAATATTCATTAGAACTAACAGACAATGACACCAAGAGAAGAATAGGGGATTCTGCAACACAAGTGCCACCTGTTGCCATTGTGCTGCAATAGCAACATGTGGCGCTTACTGATGCTTTCACACTTAAATGCACATACCGTATTTACTTGCATAATCCTCATACTTTTTTTTTGCCGGAAAACTGATGCAAAGTTGGGGGGTGGGAGAATTACGCGGGGAAAACTTTCCACGAAAACGTACAGAGCGAAAAAGAAAATGAAGTGGCCGCAAATCGGGATTCTCACACCAGCAACTTACAGCAAGCTTTAAATAGTGCTAATTAGAACTTACCTCAACAATAAAAGCAGAGGTTCAACGCAAGGCAAGATTTACTTGAAACACAAAAAGTGCAAGTAAATAGTCGAGAATTAGAATATCATACGCAAAGCTTGTGGGCGTTGCGGGCGTAACGGTAGCGTTCGTCGCTCAACATGAGCCCTCAAAAGGTAAGCGTAGGACGTCAGTATTGGGCTGATGGCTATTTACAGAATCGTCCGCAGTTTCCTTCTGAAGAAATGAAGTTTACCATTAATTCCAGTTTCAAGCCCACGGCAGGCCCAACGCGTCTTGATGGCTTTCAGCTGCCGTCACCAGTAGCGAACACAAAACTCATAGACTTTGAAGAGCCTACCGGCAGCTCTGTTGCCGTCGTATAGTGCATGATCTATCACTTGCAACTTGAAGCAGCCGTGTAGCTTCAGTATCACCCCATAACATGCCAAGATTACGGACACAGCATACAAAACACTCCGCAACGTGCACTGGCTACTTCGGCTTGGCTTGGATTGGATTGAATCTGCGTGGGATAGTATGCCTGATGCTTAAGAGATGGCGCGCGCCATCATCATCAATGGCTGGAACGAGCAGACTACATTATTGCGGCAGTTTTCGAGGGTGCGATAATTATTCAAGTAAAAAAAACAAATAGTGTTTTTCTTGGGCGATGTGGGGGGTGCGAGAATTATGCGAGTGCGAGGATTACGCGAGTAAATACGGTATAACCCTATTCTTAGCACCCTCTGCTGCATTGCAGATCTGACTGCCGCCGTGGTCAGTTGCTTCGTAGCTGCTGGTGACTGAGGGCCGTGAGTTATTTGACGTATGCATGTGGGAGGGTAGTGGCCAGATACTGCACCAGGGAGGCCAATCCTTCCCTGGTGAGAAGTGCGTTCTCGGCAATGGTTACCGGTGAGGCCGCACCCCAGGCCTCACCGGTAAAAAACTGCGGCAATGGCATAGTGGTTAGAGCATCCGCCTGGCATGCAAAAGGTCCGTGGTACAAATCCCGGTGCCACACAATTCCCAACCAAATTTTAAAAAAAAATCCGCGTGGTGATAGAATGCATTAAGAGGCCTGGGGTGCGACCTCACCGGTAACCACCGCCGGTAACGCACTCCCTCACCAGAGAAGGATTGACCACCCTGGTGCAGTATCTGACCACTACCTCCCACATGCATACGTCAATTAAATCACGGCCCTCAGTCCCCAGCAGCTGCGAAGCAACTGACCACGGCGGTGGTCAGATCTGCAACGCAGCAGAGGGTTCTAAGAATCTCTGGATCCGGACAGGCCGCCATTGGAACCTGAACTTGGAAACGTTTAACGCTAGAACCTTATCTAGTGAGGGAAATCTAGCTGTACTATTCGAGGAGCTAGAGGGTGTTAAATGGGATATAATAGGGCTCAGTGAGGTTAGGAGGACAGATGAGGCCTATACGGTGCTACAGAATGGGCACGTCCGTTGCTACAGGGGCTTGGCAGACAGAAGAGAACTGGGAGTGGGGTTTCTAATTCACAGAAACATAGCTGGAAACATAGAGGAATATTATAGCATTAATGAAAGGGTGGTAGGTATTGTAATTAAACTGAATAAAAGATACAAGATGAAGGTAGTACAGGCTTACGCGCCTACATCCAGCCATGATGACGCTTCAGTTGAAACCTTCTATGAAGACGTGGAATCGGCAATGAGTAAGGTAAAAACACAGTATACTATAGTGATGGGCGACTTTAATGCAAAGGTAGGGAAGAAGCAGGCTGGAGACCAAGCAGTAGGAGATTATGGCATCGGCACTAGAAACGCCAGAAGGAAGATACTAGTAGAATTCGCAGAACGCAATAATTTACGGATTTTAAATACCTTCTACCGAAAACGAGAAAACCGCAAGCGGACATGGAGGAGCCCTAATGGCGAAAATAAGAACGAAATAGACTTTAAAATGACTGCGCACCCAGGATTCGTGCAGGATGTGGAAGTGGTTGGCAAGGTACGATGCAGTGACCATAGAATGATACGGTCTCGAATTCGCCTAGACTTGAAGAAGGAACGACAAAAACTAATAGGCAAGAAGCCAATCAATGAGCTAGCACTGAGAGAGAAAGTACAGGAATTCAGAGTGTCGCTGCAGAACAGGTACTCGGCTCTTAGTAAGGAAACTAACCTTAGCGTAGATACAATGAATAATAATCTGACGAGTATCATTACGGAGTGTGCAGTGGAAGCTGGAGGCAGGGTAGTTAGACCGGACACTGGCAAGCTTACCCAGGAAACGAAGAATCTCATTAAGAAGCGTCAAATCATGAAAGTCTCAAGTACAACAGACAAAATAGAACTGGCAGAGCTTTCGAAGTTGATTAATAGGTATAAGGTATCCGATGTAAGAAGGTATAACGGGGAGAGAATTTAACACGCTCTGAAAAACGGAGGAAGCGTCAAAGCAGTGAAGAGGAAACTTGGGATAGGCAAAAATCGAATGTATGCACTAAGGGACAAAGAAGGCAAAATAACTACCAATTAACTACCAATATGGATAGGATAGTTAAAATAGCGGAGGAGTTTTACAGAGATCTGTACAGTAGCCGGGACAACCACGACATTAATACTATAAGAACTAGCAGTAACCCAGATGACACCCCACCAGTAATGATAGAAGTCAGGAAAGCTTTGGAGAACATGCAAAGAAGCAAAGCTGCTGGTGAGGATCAGGTAACATCAGATCTGCTGAAAGATGGAGGACAGGTTGTGTTTGAAAAACTAGCCACCCTGTTTACGAGGTGTCTTCTGACGGGACGAGTACCACACTCTTGGAAGAATGCTAACATCATCTTAATGCATAAGAAAGAAGATGACAAGGACTTGAAGAATTACAGGCTGATCAGCTTGCTCTCTGTAGTATACAAGCTATTTAAAAAGCTAATTGCTAACAGAGTAAAGAAAACATTAGAATTCAATCAACCAAAAGAACAAGCAGGATTTTTAACAGGCTACTCAACAATCAACCACATTCATACTATCAATCAGGTAATAGAGAAATGCTCAGAATATAACCAACCACTATACATAGGCTTCATAGATTGCGAGAAGGCGTTTGATTCAGTAGAAATATCAGCCGTCATGCAGACACTGCGGAATCGGGGCGTCGATGAAGTATATTTAAATATCCTGGAAGAAATCTACAGGGGATCAGCTGCTATCATAGTGTTTTATAAAGAAAGCAACAGAATACCAACCAAGAAGGGTGTAAGGCAGGGGGACACAATCTCTCCAGTGCTATTTACCGCATGCTTACATGAGGTTTTCAGAAACCTGGAATGGGAATGGTTAAGGATAAGAGTTAATGGAGAATAGCTTAGTAACCTGCGCTTCGCCGATGACATTGCATTGCTGAGTAACTCAGGGGACGAATTGCAACTCATGATTACGGAGTTAGACAAGGAGAGCAGAAAGGTGGGTCTTAAAATTAATCTGCAGAAAACGAAAGTAATGTACAACGACCTCGGAAGAGAGCAGCGCTTCGAGATAGGTAATAGTGCACTTCAAGTTGTAAAAGACTGTGTCTACTTAGGGCAGGTAATAACCGCGGAGACGAACCACAAGATTGAAGTAACTAGAAATATAAGAATGGGGTGGAGTACATTTGGCAAGCACTCTCAAATTATGACAGGTAGATGGCCACTATCCCTCAAGAGGAAGGTATATAACAGCTGTATCTTGCCGGTACTTAGCTACGGAGCAGAGACCTGGAGACTTACAAAGAGGGTTCAGCTTAAATTGAGGACGACGCAGCGAACAATCGAAAGGAAAATGACAGGTGTGACCTTAAGAGACAAGAAGAGAGAAGGGTGGATTAGGGAACAAACGGGAATTAACGATATCATAGTTCAAATCAAGAAGAGAAAATGGACATGGGCCGGGCATGTAGCGCGTAGACAGAATAACCGCTGGTCATTGAGGGTAACTAACTGGATTCAAAGAGAAGGCAAACGAGTTAGGGGGAGAAGGTTAGGTGGGCAGATGAGATTAAGAAGTTTGCAGGTATAAATTGGCAGCAGCAAGCACAGGACCGGGTTAACTGACGGAACATGGGAGAGGCCTTTGTCCTGCAGTGGACGTAGCCAGGCTTATGATGATGATGATAATCCTATTAAGTAGACAGGAGAAGGACCGCCACCATAGCTTAGTGTCAGAGGATTTTGCCAGTTGCAAATATTTACATGACTATTCTTCTAGTACCTTCCCCTATACTTCTCTTGTGGTCATTGTTTGTTTGTTCTCATGAATATTGGGTATCTAAAAAGGATGATAAAGATAGCGATGAACTATGGCACAGATTGGTAGATTAAGCTTCTGAGATATGAAACATCAAGCAATATGTACGTTCATCAAACCAGAAAGCATGATCTGAAAGAGAGCTGCTAGAGATGATGCCTCAACACTCCGCTACAGCATCAGATAGCTGCGACACCAGACATCTTGACTTGATGCTAGAGATGGCCACAACCTGCTGTGGCCTCTCATTTTAGCTTATTGGCAGGCATGAGCAAATATTCGATAGCATCGAATATTTCATCATACTTCGCAGTATTTATTTATTTATTTATTTAACACCTCACAGGCCTCGGAAGAGGCATAGGGTGAGGGGGGCATATAGTGCAGTACAATCCCTTAAATACGCGTATTAGAAGAAATTCACGACATAACAGAAAATATTGTGCAGGAGTGAATACAGATTGCAGTTACAGTACATGATCTAATGCAGCCAAAATACCATTGCGTCATTATACACCTTGTAATAAAAAGGAAAGCTTGTGCCAATGCTATTAAAAGACAAACGTAATCAAAAAGAAAAGCAATACATACACACATAGACAGACACTCACGTATAGAATAAGTGAAACTAAGCACAGTGTGTCGAAAAATGTTGGTTCAAGTGAAGCGAAAAGGCGTCATGGTCTCTGAGTGAAGCAATGTTTTCCGTTAGGCTGTTCCAGAGACGAATAGCGTGAGGTAATGGTGAAAAATAAATGATTGTATTGCACTATATAGGCAGGTGTAACTGAGAGTGTTGTGTAAACTTCGTGACGTGTGTACTTGATGATTCAAACATGATAGTGATAATGCGTCAGAGTGAATGACCTTATGAAACAACGGCAGTAATGCAATATCACTTAATGATGGTTATGATAGTTCGATTTTAATCTGTGTGATACTAGACAGGTGACCGTAGTTTTGAACTATGAAATGGCTTGCCCTATTCAGAATTATTTCCAATGCTTGAATAAGGTATTTCTGATGTGGTGACCAAATGGAAGAAGCATATTCAAGCTGCGGTCGCACAAAAGTTAGATATGCAAGTTTTCGCAAGGGGGGGCGCATGTTCCGACGTGAAAATCCTAATCATTTGGATGCACTGGCGCATATGCAAGTTACGTGCTCTAACCATGATAGGTTAGGTGCGAGGTGCACGCCTAGATACTTATAGTTTGCAGTCAGTGATATGATACTAGTGTTAATGTGATAGGTAAACTGGGAATCAACAGGTTACATAATCAACAGCCATACGTTACACCGCTGGTTCACTATTTCTAGGTCTCGTTAAAGCGCGATATGATCATCAGTGTAGGTTATAGGGCAGTAAATTATGCAGTCATTAGCAAATATTCGTACGCGAGAAGTGATGTTGTTGGGCAGATCATTTATATAAATTAAGAACAACAGAGGCCCAAGGACGCTTCCCTGTGGTACATCTGAAGAAACAACAGATTTGGGTGAATCGAACTCATTAACAGAAGTGAATTGCTTTCGATTGGATAGGAAGTTACACAGCCATGACAATGTGCAGGAGTCTAATTTTAAGGCAGAAAGTTTTGATATGAAGTGACAATGTGCAACACGATCAAATGGTTTTGAAAAATCAAGGAATAAGCAGTCGGTTCGTAAGGAGAGGTTCATATTAAGGTGGATATCTGTTGTGAATTCGAGTAATGGTGTCTCGCAAGAAAGGCCTTTTCTGAAACCGTGCTGATTCCGAAAGAAAGAACTGTTCTAGATGTTTGTAAAAGTGCGAAGCCATGGTGTGTTCTAGTAATTTGCAGCTAATACAAGTAAGCGAGATGGGCCTGTAATTTTCACATGTAATTTTCAAATTCACTGGGACACAAATTCAAATTATTCTGAATCAATGAAATTTCACCGCATGTGATTATCCCTGTACATAAATGTTGTTTCACTGCCAAAAATCTTTATGTCAAGGTTAAACGCAAAAATTGCTTTCATTATATTTCATTATACTTTCAGTTATATGGGTGGTTATGTGCTGAATGTGGTAAATTTGAACACATGACATATTTTACCACTTATAACTTTAGTTCTACTGCTATTCAGATCTTACAACTATTCAAAGTTGTTTCCAATTCACTACAAACTAAATAAAGTGACATTGCAGAGTTAACTGCACAGCTCAAGAAGCCCAAATCAGCTAACGACCATTGATGTTGGCTACATGGTGCAGCAGCTTGGGTATATGGCATCATTTGTAGAGAGAAAAGGGAGTTATGATGTTTGGCTTGCATGCTCTCGGGAGCTCTTCGACTACCGATCGGTAGTGTTTTCTGAACATGCTGAAGTGTTGATTGTAACATTCTTATTATTTGCTTGTCCATAATTATAGCTCCGCCAGACTTTGATGGTGGCCTTATTCTCCGGAGGAATGCAACGGTCGAGCATGTGGTAAGCAACGCAGTCCTGCTGTGCTGATACATGCTTGTCTGGCCACGTACACAACTTCGGACTGTGCTTGAAATGCCATTCACTAACCCAATATGGCCATAGAATAATACTGCCGTATATTGGTATTCGTAACATTGGTGAACTAAAGATTAATGGTAGGTTTAGTGATCTAGAGATAGCTCACGAATTTTGAGGCTGGCAGTGTGCTATATAGAAATTTGACCTGTTTTTGTTGCCCAGAAAAAATAACAGCACCCAGGGGCATGGAGTGTTATCTAATACTTATCTCCTTCCTTGTTCACCGCTGTTTCGTGTAGTGGGCGGTGTAATAGGGGTTTGTGAAAACGGTACTGTACAGCAGCAATTTGTAGACACTAAAAGCAACATCAAATGAAAGCAAACTCATAACGTAAAAAATTTGTACAGAAGCAAACTGTCGCATAACCAGCACTGCATTCGACTTGTTACTGTTAGTCCTGTTTACATCAATTAAGTTGTAGGTTCTCTCATTGTGCATGGCTTGCAGTTCATTGTCCGACTGATGGTTCCCACTGCTAAATTGAAGTACTGCAACTTCTTCTCTGTACTTTAACCTGTATACAAGCGGCCTCTTTGGGGAGTGAATGCAAAGTTTCAGACATTTTCTGACAAAGGTTAAAGTACTCTCAAACACTCTTGACAGCACATCTGTAATTTGTGTTTCCTTTTTTTTTTTAACCATTGTGCAGTGTCACGCAATCCACCGCAGCATCGTCCACGTCTTCAAGTACGCACTTGTCTGGGTGAGTGGCACGCTGTACAGTGAACACTGTTTACGATTAGGGTCTCGGGAAACATTTGCATGCGTTCTCATTCGTCAAGCTGCAATGTAGATGTTGGCGGATCGCAGGAGTAGTGTAGCCCAACTGTGTCACATGACATCAACAAATGCCACTATCTGATAATTAAGCTTATGCAAATATTAGAATGCTTTGAATATTCAAACAAATGTTACTTTACTCTAGTTTGCTTTGATTTCAATTTAAATTATCGGAAATTTGGAAGTATTCGAAATGAACAATTTGGCGTACTTATAGGAGTCTGCATATAACCTCCCCTCCCCTTGTAAAGATGGTTTCACTGCATGGAAGGAATGCTATACCGTGGGGAAAATACAGGGGAAATCCAGGGAGAATTTCGGGAAGAAATCCAGAGAAAATAAAGAGCTTATGTGCTGTATAGTAAATTTTGAACCATAACATATTTTACAGGTTATCGCTTTCGTTCTACCTAAAGTGAAATACTGCTACTATTCAAGGTTGTTTCCACTTCCGTTGAACAAAAAAAAAGGGGGAGGGGGACCATTTTCATGGGCCTTGTTTCAATTGCAAGGAAGTTTAATAGCGACGCCAGGTGGTAGGCAGGCAGCTGGTACGGACAGGAATGCTCGAGCAGTCCAGCGTATACAGCTCATGCACACACTCGCGCTTCACTCTCCGAGAGAGATGGTCCCACTAGTCAGTGCCTTGCGAATTCCCCATTACAATACCCCGGCGATGAAGACGAGCCATCCTGGCGACTCAAGGTGACGAGAGAACAGGAGGGTCGTAGCAGGGGCTGAGGCGACTGACGTGGACCGTCTCACGACTAAGGCGGCACTTGTCCGTGGATGGCTTGAGCGGTTCAATCACATAGGTGATAGAAGAAGGGTGCTGTACGACGTGGTAAGGGCCCGAATACTTCGGTGCGAACTTGGGAGTCAGTCCAGGAGAGTGGACAGGCAGTCGGAGCCACACGAGAGAACCGACGGGGAAAGTGTCCTAAACAAGATCACGGTCGTGGCGATCTTTTTGGAGGGCTTGATTATCGGCTGTGAAGTACCGTGCAAGCTGACGACACTCTACGGCATGTTTTTCTATTTCAGAAACTGGGCTGAACTCGGAGGCATCAGGATTGTATAGCAGAATTCTGTCGAGTGTGCTGCATGGGTCACGACCATATAAAAGAAAAAATGGAGAAAAGCCCGTTGTTAATTGAATCGCCATATTGTAGGCATACGTCACAAAAGGAAGGACAACGTCCCTATTGGAGTGGTCGGAATCAATATACATAGCGAGCATGTCTCCTAGGGTTCTGTTGAAACGTTTCGTTAGGCCGTTCGTCTCAGGGTGGTAGGCTGTTGGTGTGCGGTGTACCGTATGGCATGAATGTAAGAGCTGCTGCAGAACTTCGGACGAAAATACGCGGCCCCTGTCACTCGAGAGCTCCCATAGTGCACCATGACGAAGAACAAACTGATACAAGATGAAGGTTGCAACGTCACGAGCACCAGCCGAAGCTAGCGCTGCCGTTTCAGCGTACCTTGTCAAATGGTCGGCAGCCACAATCACCCATCGATTACCACCAACAGAGCACGGTAGCGGGCCGTATAGGTCAATTCTAACATGGTCAAATGGGCGTGCAGGACATGGTAAAGGCTGCAGTTGACCGGGTGAATGAGGGAATGTCTTGCGCTGCTGACACAGGGAACATGAGCGAATGTGTTTGCGTACAAACGTGTACATACCCCACCAGTAGTAACGTTGGTGGATCCGTTCATACGTCTTTAGCGCACCGGTGTGTGCGTGTTGCGGCTCAGCATGAAAATATTCGCAGATATCAGAGCGCATATGGCTGGGTATGACTAGCAGCCATTTACGACCCACCACTTGATAGTTGCGACGGTATAACAGGCCATCTCGTATGGCAAAATGCGTTGCTTGGCGGCGAAGAGCACGCGGGTAACCGGAAGTTGAGACGTCAAAAAGCATATTCAAGAGCGAGACAATCCAAGGGTCTTTCCGCTGTTGAATGACATGTCTGTGACACTGATGGCAGAGAGGCGAAGGTCAAGGGCTGATATTTTCGTATCATCAGATTTCACGGGTGATCGTGAAAGCGCATCTGCATCAGAGTGTTTTCGCCCCGATCGGTAGACGACGCGTATGTCGAATTCCTGGAGGCGAAGTGCCCAACGTCCGAGGCGACCAGAAAGATCTTTCAGTGAAACCAACCAACAGAGTGCGTGATGGTTTGTTACCGCGTCAAAAGTTTGGCCGTACAAATAGGGGCGAAACTTGTTTAACGCCCACACAATCGCCAGGCACTCTTTTTCCGTAACAGAATAGTTGGCTTCTGCCTTAGTGAGGGCGCGGCTGGCATAGGCGACCACATACTCCGTAAAACCTGGTTTGGGTTGCGCCAGTACTGCACCAAGGCCGACGCCACTTGCATCTGTGTGTACTTCGGTCGGCGCAGTAGGGTCGTAATGACGCAGTACGGGTGGTAAGGTAAGGAGTTGGCGCAGTCTTGTGAAGGATTCGTCACAGGCTTTTGTCTAATTCGAAAGATCTGCAGGGACAGCAAGGAGTTTAGTGAGCGGAGAGATGAAGGAAGCAAAGTTCCGGACAAACCGACGAAAATAGGAGCACAGGCCCACAAAGCTCCGTAGTTCTTTAACTGTAGTCGGCTTAGGAAATTCGGCAACAGCACGAAGCTTGCCAGGGTCGGGAAGGATGCCGGCTTTCGAGACGACATGACCAAGTATGGTGAGTTGTTTAGCCCCGAAGTGACATTTCTTCAGGTTAAGCTGAAGCCTGGCGTTTGTAAGGCACTGTAGAATTTAATTTACGCAGACGAGTGAGATGCGAAGTGAAATCGGGTGAAAAGACCACAATGTCATCAAGATAGCACAAGCATATGTTCCATTTGAGACCGCGTGCCCCGCCGCGGTGGTCTAGTGGCTAAGGTACTCGGCTGCTGACCCGCAGGGCGCGGGTTCGAATCCCGGCTGCGGTGGCTGCATTTCCGATGGAGGCGGAAATGTTGTAGGCCCGTGTGCTCAGATTTGGGTGCACGTTAAAGAACCCCAGGTGGTCTAAATTTCCGGAGCCCTCCACTACGGTGTCTCTCATAATCATATAGTGGTTTTGGGACGTTAAACCCCACATACCAACCAACCAACCAACCATTTGAGACCGCGTAAAATGCTGTCCATCATTCGCTCGAATGTGGCGGACGCATTGCAGAGTCCGAATGGCATTACGGTGAATTCATAGAGACCATCTGGTGTGATGAACGCCACTCTTGGACGATCAGACTGAGCCATTGGGACCTGCCAATAACCTGAGCGAAGGTCAAGCAAGGAAAAGAATTCTGCACCTTGGAGACAATCGAGAGCGTCGTCTATGCGGGGAAAAGGGTAAACATCTTTCCTCGTAATGTTGTTTAGGCGCCTGTAGTCTACGCAGAACCGGATCGAACCATTCTTTTTTTTGACGAGTACAACTGGTGAAGACTAAGGACTACAAGAAGGCTTGATGACTCCACGCCGTAGCATGTCGTCTACTCGTTCTGCAATTATGCGACGCTCCGCCGGGGACACACGATAGGGGCGCTGGCGCAAAGGAGTACTCTTTCCTGTGTCAATTGTGTGCACAACGGCGTTCGTTTTTCCTAGAACCGCTTGGGGAAAGTCGAACGAACGCCTGAATTCGTGCAACAGGGTAACAAGCTGCTCTCGTTGAGCTGGGGCTAGATGGCATCAATAGAACGATGAAATGCATCGGACGACACACTGTTCGAGGCAAAGTGAGGAACCAACGCGTTCAGCTCCATATTCGGCTTGGTGTCCAAGAAATCGGCAGGCACGATGGTACCTTCATCGATAAGCTGAATGTGGCCGAGCGTCTCGTTGCGGCGCAAACTGAGGGGGCACGAGTTCAGATTGGAAATAAATATTCCGGTAGTGTATTGACAAAGCGCAAGAACGGCGAATGGCAGCGATGTGTGATAGCAGCTACCGAAGATGTCAGATGGCGTGAATAGGACGGTAGCGTCAGAAAGTGATTTGCAGCAGGCAGGGACAAACTGGGCGCTGAAAGGACGAAGGTCTATGTCCATCGCGACGACAAGGTTAGCCACACTAGATACGGCCGCATCAACAGAAGGCGCATCACGAAACGGTAACAGCTCCACTTCGGCCCGAGCGCAGTCCACGACGGCGTGATGACGTGATAAGAAATCCCATCCTAGGATGACATCGTGGGAACATGAAGCCAACACCAGAAATTCAATGATGTACAACACGTCTCGAATAATCACTTTTGCCGTACATGCCGCGACGGGCTCAATTTGTTGGGCGCTCGCAGTGCTAAGAGAAACTACGGGAGAAAGCATCGTCACTTTACGAAGAGAGCGGCAGAGTATTTGACTAATCACAGATATCGCGGCACCGGTATCGATGAGTGCAAGTGTTCGTACACCTTCGACGATTACATCGATAAGATTGGCGGGAGACAGGCGAGGACTTAAACGATTAGACGACGACGCAGCTCGTGCCTCCGGAGCTGCGGCAGTTAGTTTTCTGTCTCAATGGAGGTGGGCCGTCGACGCATAGGCGACACGTAACGATGACTTGGTGAAGGGGAAGGCGAGCGGGAAGTAGAACGTCGAGAAGCGGAGGTTCGGGTGCCGGAAGCAGCTTGCGCATCGCGTTCGTGAACTTCAGGTGGCACGTGAGGCACGTGGTATGGAGGCCGAAACGAGTAGTCAGAGTATCTCGGTGTATTAGCTGCGAAGCGCCGACAACATAGACGCGCAACGTGACCTGGAATCCCGCAAAAGTAACATATCGGCCAGTTGTCAGCAGTGCACCAAGGATTTCGAGCGTGCTGCTGTGTAGCTGGAAACGGCGCGGTGGAAGGTCGCACAGGCTGTGGCATATACAATGGCAGACGAGGCGGAGGCATTGCCGCGACAGCCGCATAAGTCAGTGGCGTGGCAACAGGTGTTGATGGAGAGGCAGGCGTAGGTAATGACAACGCCTCGGAGACCTGCTCCTGAATAGCCTGTCTGATTGTCGGCAGTAGACGGTTCGTTGGTGCTTCGGTGGTCGGCAGATACGAGAGACATAAAAGCTGTCGCGCGACGTCTTCACGTACATATTCAGGTGCTGTCGCCACCGACGGCCAGAGAGTCGACTGCTGTCGTTGACCTCCGAACTAATGCACACTGCTTGCGAATCTCTTCCAAGTTCTGGCACAAGGTCACAAGTTCGGATACGGTACTTGGGCCCTTTGCCAGCAACATTTGAAAGGCATCATCGTCTATTCCTTTCAAGATATGCCTGATCTTGTCTTGTTCAGTCATCTCAGGGTTAAAGCGCCGGCATAAATCAATGACATCTTCAATATAGCGTGTGAAGCTTTCGCCCTGCCTTTGTGCTCGTCCGCGTAGGCGCTGTTCAGCGCGCAGCTTGCGCACTGCGGGGCGATCGAACACAGCTGCAAGGGTGGTCTTGAAAGCGGCCCAAGTTGTAAATTCTGTACGGTGGTTTGTGAACCACAGGCTGGCGACGTCTTTGAGATAAAATGGGACGTACTCCAATTTCGAGAGGTCGTCCCACTTGTTAGCGGCGCTCACCTTTTCAAACAGCTGCAACCAGTCTTCGACATCTTGGTCCTCTGTGCTGCTGAAGAAGGGGGGATCCCGTTGGTGCAGGGTGGTAGGTACGATGACCAGTTGAGATTGGGCCGAGCTCTGCAGGGGGGTGCCTTGCTCGGTCGTCTGATCAGGCATTGCTGATGCAGTGGGCAGCTTCCGGCTTTGAAGTACCAGGTTTGCGTACCCAGCACACTTCGACCACTTTGCAAGGGAGTTTAATAGCGATGCCAGGTAGTAGGCAGGCAGCTGGTACGGACAGAAATGCTCGAGCAGTCCAGCGTCTACAGCTCGTGCACACACTCGCGCTTCGCACTCCGAGAGAGATGGTTCCACTAGTCAGTGCCTTGCGAAATTCCCCACTACACAATTTAAAAAATATATTGAGCTAGTTAATTGGTTCATGACAAATATAGGCATTTTTATTTATAGTATGCGATATATGCTATTCAAATTCGATTCAAGATTATTCGACCAAGTCACTGTTTGCTGCTTTGAATTCACTTTAAGCCTATAACTTACTACTCACACAAATGTACTAATAATGTCATCATATGACATCGTCACACGTTTTCATCTTGCCACTGGGTGGCAGCTTTGATGCTGGACGGACGGACGCCAGATTTGTTGTTTTCTAAAAGTTTATATGCACGTAGTATTACTATATCACAAAACAAAAAGTGTGCCGTCTGTCCATTAGTCTTATGTCCTAAAATCATAACATGGTTATGATAACTAGAACTAAATAATTAATGTTGTGTCTCAAAAAGGAAAGGAAACAAGCTTTTAAAAATACTCTCCTCATGATTATGAGAGGCACTGTCGTAGAGGGCTTGGATATTTTGACCACCTGTTGATCTTTAATGTCCATCTAAGAGCACACATGCCTGCATCGAAAATGTGGCCACTGCTGTCGAGAACCGATCCTGTGACCGTTGGGTAAGCACTCGAGCACAACGGCTTTTAGTTCACTGTGGCGGGTTTTTTACTTCATGGGGAGATGGCAATGCCCACACATTAACGCATGTACCCTCGTCTATCTTTGTGCGATCTACCACAATTTCACTTGTCATCAGCGTTCACGGAGTGTAATGGGCACTCGGTCCTTTTTTCTTCCCCTGTTCCATCAGGGCACAAGTACCAAGTACAGTCCGCAGAGGGTCGGCCTGCAGCACGTGGTTCACCACGAAGACGTCGTCCAAATTGTCAAGAAGTGACACGACCGCCGTGCTTTAGGAACTACAATGATTTACAGCTGCCGCGAATGAAATGTTTTGGCTGGAGCTTTTTTTTTTTTGTGCTGGCTATGCGACAGTGTCTGTATTTTTGAAGAATGAAATAATAAAAAAAGAAAAAGCCCAGTTACCAGCTCGGCCTGATACCAGAGTACGGTGTGGCATTCATCACTCGCATGCTTTCCTCTTTCGATGCTAGTGTGATCTTTCTCATGGGGACACTCAAGTTGCAACTTGTAAAACTATGCACTACCTAATTTAGGCCAACCACAACAAACTCTCAATCATGAAAGACGCTTAGGTTCACAAAGTGCTGAGATTTGGTGTATGAAATTCAAGCAGAAGTGTATAACTCAAGAATAAAATCAACGCCAAGCACTCATCTGTACACACAACGAAGCGTAAAGGTGTGGCCCGGTGTTTTATAATGAGCAGGGTCTATTGAACTATCCGTTGTACGAGTTTTGGATCCATTAATCATTACTCAAGAGATGTATGCTTATAAACGTTGTGTTTGATGACATAGCTTAAAGAATAAATTCAAACAACAATATAACAAATTTGAATATAACAAATTATCGGTTGTAACGAAGCCAGTGACCAATAGCTTTGTCATTAATAATGTATTAAATAATTAATTACAGTTACTCCTGCTTACAACAAACGCTCATATAACAAATTCCTCGATATAACGAAGTTTTTCTGTTCCCCACCATTACTCAATAGAAGCACGTGTTTGCGACCTCTATGTAACAAAATAACAGCGGGAGACATCCTTGATATAATGAATTTTCGCCACGGACAAACTAAGAATCTTGTCCCAGACTCTGTCGTTTTGGCAGGGGCATGCGTCTTCCGCAGTTGCCTGGACGAAATGCGTAGCGGCGGTGGCGCGCACAGCGTGCTTGTGGCCCCACGGCGACTCCCAGGCGAGAGCGAGCGCTCGTTATTGCGCGCGGGTGTGCCTGAAGCGGGCAGGAAGGCCTGCGCTGCACGATCCGGCGTTGCCGCGACGGGCGCATGCGCGGATGTGCCCTTCCTCTCCTTCGAAACCAAAATTAAAAAAGAAAAAGCTACTTTCGCGCTAGCAGTGGCCCGCTTTTAGGTAGCGTCACAAATGTGGGGCAGCCCTGCTTATGGAGGGCGCTTAACCGAATAGTTTTCCGTGGTACCCATGTCGTTCGCTTTTCGTTTTCGACTGTACGCACATGGAGTGGCCCCCGACGGCGTTCAGCTTTGCTTTTTTTTTTTTTTTCATGTTTAATGCGGACAACCGTGTCGTCACTACCGAGGTAATGGCAGGTTAGGCGCTGATGGAAACTCTCTGAGACCATGGTGACAGTGACGGATCTTCGGAAATCGATCGACTCGTCACCGCGCTTCCGTCCTGTGTCACACTGCGAGTTCGCCGAACCGTACCCTTCGTGATTAGCCTATGAGCGCTGGCAACAACACGACGGTGCGTGGAATGCAATGCATTGAATGCGATAGCAACAAATTGTAACGTTATACGACGTAAGGCTGGCAACCAGCTCGTTTCGATCCGATGTCGCGGAATTCCTACATGATGCTTCGCGTTGGCATGTAGAGTTTAACGTCCCAAAACCGCCATATGATTATGAGAGACGCCGTAGTGGAGGACTTCGGAAATTTCGACCACCTGGGGTTCTTTGACGTGCACCCAAATCTGAGCACACGGGCCTACAACATTCCTGCCTCCATAGGAGATGCAGCCGCCGCAGCTGGGATTCGATCCCGCGACCTGCGGGTCAGCAGCCGAGTACCTTAGCCACTAGACCACCGCGGCGGGGCATGTTTCGTGTTGAAAGCGCATGCTTGCCGAGATAGCACGCGCGCCAGTGACCGCGGCCTTAAAATCAAAGTTCACCGTTGTCAGTCGAACGACACCCCCTCCCCCTTCCCCCGCGTTTATTTATAATTGTTCAAAACATGTGCTTTTCTTTCTGTTTGAGCACTCGATGGCAATTCTAACACGCGGGGGGAATGTTATCGTATACGCGCCTTCCGGGCGATAGAGATGGGCTGGCTCATTTGATCTTTGCTTTGAGCAGCGCTCGCGCGCTTTTACACGCTCGTGAAATTTGCGATGTGCGGATACATGTTATCAATTTGGACTTGTTACGGAACGTGGTGGCGACGGCAACAACCCGCATAGAGTGTTTGTACATTTGCTATCGCAATGATAATGAAGTTTTTCAGTGCTAAAAAGGTGTTTTAGGTTAGGTTTGCCTTCAGTTGCCCTTTTGTTTAACTTGTGTGCTTACTTTTCAAATTTTCGTGCTTGGCCTGCACATAACAAAATCCTCTTTATAACAATTTTTAGGGAATTTCTCGATTTTGTTATATCTAACCTTTACTGTAAAACGAATTTCTGGATATATAGAATCATTTTGTTGCAGATGTGGTTTTATTTAATGAGCTTTGAGTGTAGATCAATAGCACCTAAACAGTACAAAATGTGCTACAAAACAGCCGAAAGCATTTTGTAGCAAATTTGTAGGATAAAGAACAGTGTTTTTTTTTTGCAGTTGTCCTCAGTTTTCTGGCAGGCGGGAAAAAATAGCTAAAGGCGACTGATAGATGCGCATGATAGATGCGAAGCAGCTCTTTGACTAGGCTGTGTAACGCCGTCCGCCCGTGTCTCCGTGCCAACGCGCCGCATCGTATTACCCCCGCCGCAGTTGTTGGATCGTTGCCAGTAGGTCAAGTCACAGCTGCGCATTGATGTTACTCTCTCCCTCACCCGCAGCAGCTGCCGGCTCCTCCCAACACACTTCTCTTACCCTCTCCACCGCCCGCAACGCTCGACCGCAAGTCGAGTGGAAACGATGAAACTTACACGGCAACCAACCCGCCTCCCGTGTCTTCGCGTTTCAAAGCAACGTTTACTCGAGTAAAGCCTACACCGAGTTTCGCTTCAAACCGTTCTTCCAGCACCCGCTTCGACGCCCATTTCAGTCGGGTCAACAGCGTGTGCACCGCTGCTGCTTTGCATACCATCATATGGTTGCCCTAGAGGAGATGGTTCATAGTTTTTTTTTTTTTTTTGTTACTGATATTGCACACATTTAGGTAGTGACTAGGTGCATTACAATGACAACTACACCATAACGCTTATAAGAAAAGTACCTAACAGCAAAACATTAATACAATACCATAATAAAGTTAGAATAGAAAACAAGATAAATTAAATTACTCCTTTGCGGACAGAAATTTGGGTTTCAGCTAGCAGCATGTCAGAATAAAAGGCTGCTAGTATATGCATTGAGCTCAGTGCTTTCATAGCACAAACCACTCTGCTGCCGTCTGACATCATGCCCGCGTGGAAAGTGCAGCTGTCTCAGCGAAAGCTGGAAAACTGGCATTTCTAGAACCAGTTGAAAACTCTTTCTTAAGCCGTATTTCCCCACCCCAAGTGCTGAGTTGCGAACCACGGATGCCAGCATCTGGTTAATCTCTCGGCCTTCCTTTTCTCTCTCTCTCTCTTGGGTCAAATAATAAAGCGCGTTTGCAAGGTATACCCATGGAACTTCACTTTAAAGCAGGATTGTCAAAATTGAAAGCACCCACTATGCCATTGTAGTCAAATCCTGCTACAACGAAATTTACGGGACGCTCGAAAAAAATTGTTCTCGTGGATTCGTTGTAGCGAAATCTATAGAACACAAAATTCGGTAAGATCTGATGATTATGATCGTCCTTTGTCCAAGCAAGCGCGTGCAGTGAACCCTTGTCAACTCAGACGCCAGGGGCACACTAGGGCCTTCATGTGCGCGCGTCTCCGTGTTCTAGGGTGGTGTCAGCCTTTGACCCACCACTTAGCGCCACTCGCTAAAACACAATGTTGCCAGTCGCGGTTCCCGCGGCAACAGGCGCCATGTTGGTTCTTGCGGCCAGGCGTTCCTGCTCCGTCGCACTGCATCAGCTGCATGTTGGCGCGGGTGTGCAAGCTGCGGTATGAGCTGCGTTTGATTACCCCACCCTATTGGAAAAATTGCCATGGTGGATACTGGAAAACATGGTGGGCGTAGTGGAAATAATAGTGGGCATGGTGGAAATTATGATGGCTATGGTGGGACGTAGTGGAAAATATGGTGGTTATGCCGGGACATACTGGGTGGTATGGTGTACAGATGATGGGTAAAGTGGAAATGATGGTGGAAAGCAGAGGCTACATAGTGGGCAATAATGGGACACTCTGCCCACCATTGCGATAATGCTGGGAAGCCCTAAGCATATGGTGGGTGGTGCTTATTATGGTGGGCTACATGGTGTACCAAGCTGAGAAACTCTTCCCACCATTGCGATAATGCTGGGAAGCACTAAGCAGATGATGGGTGCTGCTTGTTATGGTGGGCCACATGGTGTACCAAGCTGAGAAGCTCTGCCCACCATCGCGATAATGCTGGGAAGCAGTAAGCAGATGATGGGTGGGCTTATAATGGCGGGCAAATTATATAGTGTACCAAGCTGGGATCTGTACACTACATGTTCTACCATCATGATTTCCACCAAAGGTTAGGCCTACTGACCGAGCCCGTACAATTGTGTTATCCGTGCTTCCGGGTTTCAGAATACACGATTACGACGATTAAGTATGACAATACAGCGCAGCCATATGGCATCAATTAACCTAAATGAAGCATTTTTCATTGTGTATGCTGTTCGCTCAAGAAGCAACAAACATCGATGCGACGCGATTAAAGCACTCCCAGAGAACGTAATTTAGTGTCTTCTCACCGACAGCCGCCGGTCGCACTCGCCGGCACTTCTCTAGCTTTTGTACGAGAACTCAGACGTGGCAATTCGTGTGCTTGGTGAACCATTATGATAGCGTAATGTTTCCGGTACACTGCATTCGTTTTGGCCAAGCCGTTATGTAGTTGTTGCTTTAGCGAAAGAGCAACAGCATTGCGCTGGCGCGACCGCCCTCTACATTGCGCGAAAAGCATCCCAATACTCACCCAAATAAATTAGGCGGGCGTATCTATGGAATGAGCCTAGAAGCGTCATAAAGCGTGAGCAGATGTCGCCCTTTAGAACGAGCGCGAAACGGATATTAAACTTGGCAGACCCCGCCGGTAAACTGTTGCTGCTCCCCAGTCCACTTGGTTTTTTTTCCCTTTAAGT